AGACTGCTCAATGAGGTGAAGAAGAATCCTAGAGTGTCAGCTGAAGACTTACAAAAATCACTGGCAAATGCTGACATCCTTGTTAGCGAATCTACAATACGTAAAACACTAAACAAGAATGGATTTCATGGGAGGATACCACAGAGGATGCCACTGCTGTCCAAACAAAACATTGCTGCACGTTTACAGTTTGCACAAGAGCACCTGGATGTTCCACAGCAGTACTGGCAAAATATTCTGTGGACAGATGAAACCAAAGTTGAGTTGTTTGGAAGAAACACACAACACTATGTGTGGCTAAAAAAAGGCACAGCACACCAACATCCAAAACCTCATCCCAACAGTGAAGTATGGTGGTGGGGGCATCATGGTTTGGGGCTGCTTTGCTGGATCATCAAAGGAAAAATTAATTCCCAAGTTTATCAAGACATTTTGCAGGAGAACTTAAGGCCATCTGTCTACATGCTGCAGCTCAACAGAAGATGGGTGTTGCAACAGGACAATGACCCAAAGCATAGAAGTAAATCAACAACAGAATGGCTTAAACAGAAGAAAATACGCCTTCTGAAGTGGCCCAGTCAGAGTCCTGACCTCAACCCGATTGAGATGCTGTGGCATGACCTCAAGAAAGCGATTCACACCAGACATCCCAAGAATATTGCTGAACTGAAACAGTTCTGTAAAGAGGAATGGTCAAGAATTACTCCTGACCGTTGTGCATGTCTGATCTGCAACTACAGGAAACGTTTGGTTGAAGTTATTGCTGCCAAAGGAGGTTCAACCAGTTATTAAATCCAAGGGTTCACATACTTTTTCCACCTGCACTGTGAATGTTTACATGGTGTGTTCAATAAAAACATGGCAACATTTCATTCTTTGTGTGTTATTAGTTTAAGCAGACTGTGATTGTCTATTGTTGTGACTTAGATGATGATCAGATCACATTTTATGACCAATTTGTGCAGAAATCCATATCATTCCAAAGGGTTCACATACTTTTTCTTGCAACTGTATATTCTAGTGACAGTGTTCTCAATAGACTGTGGAAACCATTGTTCCTGTTGATTTTGGCCTCATGTGTTGGTGTTTTTCTTTATTTTCCAAATAGATCTACAGTGGAAAGCTGGGCACATGGCAGAGAGTTTGACTAATATGCCTCGACACTCACTCTACATTATTATCGGTGCGCTCTGCGTGGCCTTTGTACTCATGCTGATCATTCTTATTGTTGGAATATGCCGAATCAGCCGCATTGAGTATCAAGGGTCCTCTCGGCCAGCCTACGAAGAATTCTACAACTGCCGTAGTATCGACAGTGAATTCAGCAGCGCAATTGCATCAATTCGACATGCAAGGTCAGTTTTAAAGTATCCAAGATTGATCTTTGAAATAGATTATCTCTGTTGTTAAATTGCCCCTTTTATAACATTGTAAATCGCCACGGAATAAGCTGGTGCTATGTAAACACCATTAATAATAACTATAATAATTAAAACTAGGACGAACAGGGATGTATGTTATCCAGAAGTAATATCTATTTTATTCTTTTTTTTTAAGTTGTGGGAAAAATGAAAATGTATACAGTTACAATTTTCTTGTATAGATCCAAATTTATGATGCCACATTAGGAATATAAAACTGTTCTATATAACTTCACTTTCCTATAAAATTATTGGTATATATGTTTCATTTAAATGCATAGTTAATTCAAATATTTACAATTTCACTAACTGAATTCACTTAGTTGGACCCTTTAAAACTTGTCAGGAGGAGAGGAGCAGATTCACCAACCTCTAAAAAGAAAATCACAAGTCGAGGAACCAATTGTCACAGAGAACTTCTCTTTTTTGTTCGTCTGCAGAAATAGCTGAGGGTTTTAGCAGAAATGGAAGGAGTTTTAGGGAGAGGTTATATGGAGTAAGAGAAGGAGTCATAGAGAGAGGATATATGGAGTAATAGGAGGAGTTATAGGGAGAGGTTTCATGGAGTAATAGGAGGAGTTATAGGGAGAGGTTATATGGAGTAATAGGAGGAGTTATAGGTAGAGGTTATATAAAGTAATAGGAGTTATATGAAAAGGATATATGGAGTAACAGAAGGAGCTATATGGAGAGGTTATATGGAGTAATAGGAGCAGTTATAGTGAGAGGTTATATGGAGTAATAGGAGGAGTTACAAGGAGAGGCTATATGGAGTAATAGGAGGAGTTATAGAGAGAGGTTATATGGAGTAATAGGAGTAGTTATAGGGAGAGGCTATATGGAGTAATAGGAGGAGTTATAGGGAGAGGTTATATGGAGTAATAGGAGGAGTTATAGGGAGAGGTTGTATAGAGTAATAGGAGGAGTTATAGGGAGAGGTTATATGGAGTAATAGGAGTAGTTATAGGGAGAGGCTATATGGAGTAATAGGAGGAGTTATAGGGACAGGATATATGGAGTAATAGGAGGAGTTATAGAGAGATGTTATATGGAGTAATAGGAGGAGTTATAGGGAGAGGTTACATGGAGTAATAGAAGGAGTTATAGGGAGAGGTTACATGGAGTAATAGGAGGAGTTATAGAGGGAGGTTATATGGCGTAATAGGAGGAGTTATAGGGAGAGGTTATGTGGAGTAATAGGAAGTATGGGGAGAGGTTACATGGAGTAAAAGGAGGAGTTATAGGGAGAGGTTATATGGAGTAATAGGAGGAGTTAGAGGGAGAGGTTATATGGAGTAATAGGAGGAGTTAGAGGGAGAGATTATATGAAAAAATAGCAGGAGTTATAGGAAGAGGTTAAATTGAGTAATAGGAGGAGTTATAGGGAGAGGTTATATGGAGTAATAGGAGGAGTTATAGGGAGAGGCTATATGAGTAATAGGAGGAGTTATAGGGAGATGGTATATGGAGTAATAGGAGGAGTTATAGAGGGAGGTTATATGGCGTAATAGGAGGAGTTATAGGGAGAGGTTATGTGGAGTAATAGGAAGTATGGGGAGAGGTTACATGGAGTAAGAGGAGGAGTTATAGGTAGAGGTTATAGGGAGTAATACGAGGAGTTATAGAGGGAGGTTATATGGAGTAATAGGAGGAGTTATAGAGGGAGGTTATATGGAGTAATAGGAGGAGTTATAGTGAGACATTAAATGGAGTAATAGGAGAAGTTCTAGGGAGACGTTGCATGAATAGATAGTTAACATATTCTTAATCACTTCATGTGATTTCTTTATATTGTGGTGAATTTTATGGGTCAGTTTTCAGTTCATCAAACTTAGGCCACAATTTAATATTTCAAATTACTGAATATTTTAGATAAAGTTTTAAAATATTATATATATATACATATATATTATATTATTTACTAATAAAAATATTAAAACTTTAAAAACATATATATATATATATATATATATATAAAATGCCAAATAATCTAAAAGTATTAAAATATGTTTGCAAACATTACATTTTTAAAAGTTTATCCAAAAATATTAAATGGAGTCCTTAGTACTACTTGTTTTCATTGCTTTAAGCAGCATTTCTACATATCTATAATATTGTCTTTTTTCCCTCTAGATTTGGAAAGAAGTCTCGTCCTGCCATGTATGATGCAACTCCCGTAACTTATGAGGATTATAGCCCAGATGACAAGCCTCTTGTTACACTGATCAAGACAAAGGACTTGTAATGTGTCCCCTCCACTCATTATTTAGATTTCATAAAAGAGGGGGAATTATCTTTTAAATGGATGATTTACTAAACTGACTAATTATTTAAAAAAAAAAAAATGGAAACTGAATCACAGATGGTTTCTCCTTTGCGGAATTAATTCCTTTCAATCGTGAAATAACACTTTTCTGTCAGGGGTATCGGTAAGTACCCCTAGCAGCTAAAGGGTTTACCCATTGTCAATAAATAATTAAAAATATATACGCAAAGTAACTACTTTAGCAATATACAGTCTGAACTGTAGTCAGCCTTTACCTGTAGCTTTTAGAAGGCTCATATAATAAATAATTTATCCGTCAATAAACACATTAAGAGAGCCAAAATTGTTCGTGTTGTGAAGAAAAAAACACCCACAAAGCCCTGTGGTAAAATCTTTCTAACCAGAATTTAATAGATTTTGGATTTTTCCTTCTGCTTTTTTCTCTCTATGCATGGTTAGCTAACAATAATCTGCATTGTTTTCTAGAAAGTGATCTCGACTTGATGTCCCCGTCCATACTTTTGTTGTGTTGGTAAAACTGGATCTTGTATAAACGATAAGAAGCAGATTAGACTAGGCCAAGCTATTGTTTTTTTCTCATATACAGCAAGGTTTTTCTATATTGTGAGTAAGCAAGGCTTCTTTTTAGACAGCACTGAATTCCTGATGGAGGTATCTGCTCATTAGCTCGTGCATTGCATTGTGTTGTATATGTATTTATGTAGTAGGTATTTTGGTTCCTTTATCCTAGACATTTTACAGCTTTGTTCTACTTGGAATCTCCAAATATTCTAAATAAATGTTATCAAAACACCCTTGTAGTTTAATTTTTTTCTTGTGTGAAGCCTACTGGTCTCCTAGCTTAGAGGAATAGATAGTGAACGTTTGTAAGAACATGGCACAGCAAAAAAATATATAAAATTAATAAAATAAGCCAGTACAATAATTAAGTTGTGTTGCAGATTTGGTTGTGCAAAAATTTACAGTATTTACTCAAATCTAATAAGCACCTTTATTGGCAAAATAAAGCCTCCAAAATTTGAATGTGCATTAGATTTGAAGGCGCATTAGTTTCGAGAACAGTGGCGCATTAGATACGACGCGAAGTCCCGGGGGCAAAATTCTAATTTACATTGCTGTGACACGGATGTGAGACTTGGTTTCTGTGTATAGTAAAGCTGTACCTCGCATCTTTGTCATGATGTGAATGCGAGTTCCACCCCAGCGAATTTCGCTCAGTTTATAGGGCAGTCCTCGCTTATCGACATATATGTTGTATAATAATAATTATCTTCTCGTTCAAATGCGCATTCGCCAGGAAAACTCCCAGATTTCAAAATTTTAATGCGCATTAGATTTTATAGTGAATTATATTTTGAGTAAATACATTGTTTTAATTGAATTAGTACACTGAGATTCCTCTTACAAAATATCCACAAACACTGCCTTTACGAAGTCACTTGTTCACAGGACAAGTGATTCAGCTTTCCTCACTAACATGGCCCCAATACAATGTTACAAATGTAATCCCTGACTGAGACCATATATCCTATCAAAGAAAAAAAAACAAAAAACTAATTGATCTTGAACAAGGATTAGCCTTCAGCAACTTATTCTTAAACATGTGAGAAATATATATATGTAAAAAATACACAGCACTGAAAACCATGCAACCATAATAACACATCCAATATATAATACAAATAAAAAATTGTATCATGTAGAAAAAACAAAGATACGCAGATATAACTGCTTATTTAACTGCGCTAGCAGTTGTACTAATTTTCATATTTAAATTATGCAAATTAAAACATTCCAAGTCAACCAACAGATGGTGCTGCAGGGTCATCACAGCTATAATTTCACAAACATACTGTCATACCTCGGTATGCCGCGCGGCACATGCGGCTTCCTGGCGGTGCTGTGCAGCAGCCACGAAGTCTCCGGTCCCATGCCGTCCTGGCCACAATAAACACCATGAGGAGCAGCCCCTGCATGATCTGTCTTCTGACAAGACATCATGATCTTTTTGGCAACCATGCGCCACCTACAGGAGTCCTTGGAAATTACAGGACGCTGTGGGTGCAGGCTTTTATAGCATTAAAGTGACAGGTCATATTATTGGTATACAGAAAAACTCTTTTTAGCACTAACACATTATTTGTTTAGTTTTAACACTGTTTTTAATTGCTTTCATCACTCATTTTTGTATACTCACTATGCTCTTATCAGGATTTAATTTAACACTTGTAATTTTCAACACTAGTACTATTTAATTTGTTCCCCACATTTTTAGTGTAGGACCCACCAATATTGGGGTACTTTGAAAGTAGTGGTGGGCTTAACAACATATGGCCATATGGTGGAACTAAATCCCCATATTTATTCTCAGATAGGCATTTTAGTAGCCTTCTTTGTATTATATATTGTTTTGTAGTCTGAGTGCGCTGCAACTATTTATTGTTTTAGGTCATATTATTGGGACACATTATTTGCCCTTCACAGGTCACACCCCTTTGTGTGATTTGGTGTTCAGGGTGATGATCCTATCCAATAAGATTTTTGTTCTCCCTATTTAAACTTCCCTCTTTCTGGAGATCATTGCCCTATTGTGGTTTATTCTGCCCGAGAGTGCTTTCTGTGAAGTTTTTTTGCTTTTCTCGTTACTGACCCGGATGTGTATTTGACTATTCTGATTTTCTGGTTGCCTGACTTCGGCTTGTTTTTTCGTTTTTGAGTATCTCTTGTGTCCTTGACCTTGGCTTGCTATTTTGACTCTGTATTTTTCTCCTATCTAGGGCGTAAGTTAACCCGGGCATTCTAAGGTCCGGTATACATACCTTCTCTCTTTTTATTCTTTCATTCTGGTTACTGTTTCCCTATACTCTGTGAGTGTGGGTTACCCAATCTTGACACATACTCAGATTATAAGAATACATGTATATGTATAGGGATGTCCTTTTATTCCTTTTTGTACCAGTTTAATTATGTATTGCACTGTTGTCATTCTCTATCTTTTATAAATACACCATTGTAAAAAAGTTGGTGCTATATAAATTGTGTCACTGGCAATTTTACTCTGATGTCATATTTGACTATTTTTATAAGTTAACATTATTTGCAAATCTCATTTTAATATTCTTCTTCTTACTATTATCATTTATATAGTTTCAGTGGGGTTATACACAGCAAATTATTGACAGACAAAATAATGTTAACAGATACAGGAGAGTCCTACTCAGACGAGCTTACAATGTTAAAATATAATCAATAATTATATGTGAATGATTGCTTTGATAGGCACACAGATACAGTCAGATATTATCACAGACATACTCAGATACCAAGACTGTCGCAGACAAGGCTGATCTAGTTGTTAAGGACCATGTGTAAGTCCATAATTGAAGGCACCTTTGCCACTTTACCCCCTAAAGATTTAAGCTCTCATACACATACAGCAGTTACACATCATTATTATCAGATTGAGATGTTTCAGCACCTTCTTTCCTTTCATTGTCTGGCTCTTTTTTTGTCTTTTCTAACCTCCTCAGAGGTCCTGTCCTCTCATATTAGCCTGTACTTTATAATTGCTGCTCTAACTCATTTTTTTCTTCTCAGTTGATGATCCTTTCTTTCTTTCTTAGAACCTCCATTCTCAAACACAAACCAAAATCCCTAGGTTGGTACGATTATATGTGTCTCTGCTGTATTCAGGGCCAACATGTCCTATAGGCTAAGTAGGTGGCCGCCTAGAGCACCTACTAAGGGGGGTATCAGCAGTGGCTTTACTGCTTGTCTGGCCACCTCCTTATCAAGTGGGATTGATTATATATAGCAGGCCATGGCAGCCGCCGGCCTCGTTATTGGGCGCTAGGGAGCACTTACTTGTAGACTGGCGCCCGGTAGAATGTCGGTCCAGCATTCACCACAGCCTGCTTAGTCAGGACCCCTCTTCCAGTCATGCACCACGGCAGCGCAAGGGCGCATCATTCACTCACTCCCGCCCCTTGCCCTGTATGTAGGGACAAAGGGACGGGAAAATAACAGGAAATGGGGCTTGGGAAAAAAGTGTCGGCCTCCGGGCGCGGTAAAGAAGACAGGGATGAAGAGCAAAGCACAATGAAGGTAAGAGAGAATGCACAGTGTGTTTCATAGAATGTGTATCAGTATGTTTCAGTCAGTATGTTTGTGTATGTCAGTCTGCTTGGGTCTGTGTGTGTATGTATGGGACTGTGTGTGTATGTATGGGTCTGTCTGTCTGTTTGTGTATGTAGGGGTATGTCTGTGTGTGTGTATGTATGGATCTGTGAGTGTATGGGTCTCTGTGTGTCTGCATGGGTCAGTGTCTGTGTATGGGTCAGTGTGTGTGTCTTTATGAGTCAGTGTGTGTGTGTGTATGTATCAGTCTGTGTATAGGTCAGCATCTGTCTGCATGGGTCAGTGTGTGTGTGTTTGTATGGGTCTGTTTGTGTGTATGGGTCTCTCGAAAGCATGCTGTTGCTTTGGGGATGTCGGACCGCAGTCTGAGGAGGATTCTTCATTTAGCTTTCTAGTTTTTATCCCTACAAAATTATGTTGGCTCAGGCATTGAGTGTAGCAGATTATACCAACCGCAGAAATCTGTGTGAGCAAATGCTTGCACAGATCCCTCCCTCAGCAGCGACGAGGCACATTTTCATCTCAGTGGAGCTGGGAATAAGCAAAATCTGGGCTCAAAATAACCCCTAAATGATTCATGAACGACCAGTACATTCCCCTAAACTAACGGTGTGGTGTGCCGTATCACGATTGGGAGTTATAGGCCTGTACTTTTTTGATTGTTGAAGAAGAGGAATTGGGGGAGTTCCGGTTTCAACAGGATGGGGCTACAGCCCGAAATTCACCCAATGTTTTGAAAGAAATGTTTCCCGGACGTCTCGTCTCTCTGAGGGGTGATGTGGGGTGACCAGATTTGAGCATTTGAGATTTTTTTCTTTGTGGATATCTGAAGGAAAAAGTGTTCAAACATTGCCCTCACACCCTACAAGAGCTAAGGGAGCAGGTTATTGAAGAAGTTGATGTCATACACAGCGATATGTGTAAACGAGCTGTATAAAACTTCAGAGATAGTCTCCAACAGTGTGTTGCTGCTAATGGCCGCCTTCTCAAGGACATTATTTTCAAAACTTAATGAATATAAAATGGTATTTACTGCTGAATTAAAAAATAAAAACAGTTTTGTTTTTCTCTATATACCTCATAAATCAAAACTGCTTAATGGTTTCTCCTGCAGCCTGTTGGAGCTGTTATTTGCAACCTTGGTTACACATGCAAAGATGCATTTTGCAAACCCCCTCCCAAAAAAATTCATCTTCACCCATGTATCTCTTAACGTCCCTTTTTAATTTCGTACTCACTTGTGTTTCTTATCCCCTCTTTTGAATGTCTTACCCACTTTAATATATCGTATCACCCTTTTGCGTCTTTCATCCACATTAGTGTATCTTATCCTCCTTTCTTCCCTTTTATGCATCTCTTACATCCCTAGCCACTTGTGTGCCTCTTACTTACCTAAGCCCGTTGTTTGTGCCTCTTACTTCCCCCCAGCTCATTCTTGTGTCTTCTACTTCTCTCAGCTCCTTGTGTGTCTCAGTCCAGAACGTTTGTGTGTCTCTTCACCCCAGCACCTTTGTGTGTGTGTCGATCTCCCCAGCCCCTTTGTCTTTCTCTCCCCTTCACCAGAAGCGCCATGTCTATTTTTCCCCTTCTCCATCCGACCTATCTGTGTGTCTTTTTACTTTTTCTCTTCCTCTTTGTGTGTCTTTCCCCCCCAGCTCCTCTTTGTTCTTCTTCCCCCATTACCATGTCTCTTTCCCCCTAGCCCCTCTGTGTGTCTCTTACCTGGTCTGACAGGAAATGCTCACTGAGAGCAAGGAACAGCTTCCTTTCAGGGTAGAGGTGTCAGGATTACTAGTTGATCCAGCATGTAGAATTATGTCACACCTAGGACTAAAGGTAGAGAAAATGAACAAGTGGAATCACAAATCCCACAGTTCAGAATAGGACAAAAATGGACATAAATGGGCATGTACCCAGGTAGTTTAGAAAAAGATGAATAAGTTACAAGAGGATACAGAAGATCATCTACCATAGTCCATTCGGCCATGCTACAAAATAGAGATAGGGAGTAGAGAAGGGGAAAGAGACCACAACGAGAGGGGGTGGTGACTGTAAGAGACACACAGAGGGGCTGAGGGAAGAAAGAGACACACGGAGGGCCTTGGAGGGAGACCCCAGAGGGGCCGTGGGAAAAGAGACACACAGAGGGGCTGAGGGAAGAAAGAGACACACCGAGGGCCTTGGAGGGAGACCCCAGAGGGGCCATGGAAAAATAGACACATAGAGAGGCTGAGGGAAGAAAGAGACACATGGAGGGCCTTGGAGGGAGACCCCAGAGGGGCCGCGGGAAAAGAGACACACAGAGGGGCTGGGGGGAAGAGAGACACACAGAGGGGCTGAGGGAAGAAAGAGACACATAAGGTGCCTTGGAGGGAGACCCCAGAGGGGCCGCGGGAAAAGAGACACACAGAGGGGCTGGGGGGAAGAGAGACACACAGAGGGACTGAGGGAAGGGACACACGGAGGGCCTTGGAGGGAGACCCCAGAGGGGCCGTGGGAAAAGAGACACACAGAGGGGCTGAGGGAAGAAAGAGACACACTGAGGGCCTTGGAGGGAGACCCCAGAGGGGCCATGGAAAAATAGACACATAGAGAGGCTGAGGGAAGAAAGAGACACATGGAGGGCCTTGGAGGGAGACCCCAGAGGGGCCGCGGGAAAAGAGACACACAGAGGGGCTGGGGGGAAGAGAGACACACAGAGGGGCTGAGGGAAGAAAGAGACACATAAGGTGCCTTGGAGAGAGACCCCAGAGGGGCCGCGGGAAAAGAGACACACAGAGGGGCTGGGGGGAAGAGAGACACACAGAGGGACTGAGGGAAGGGACACACGGAGGGCCTTGGAGGGAGACCCCAGAGGGGCCGTGCGGAAAGAGACACACAGAGGGGCTGGGGGGAAGAGAGACACACAGAGGGGCTGAGGGAAGAAAGAGACACATGGAGGGCCTTGGAGGGAGACCCCAGAGGGGCCACGGGAAAAGAGACACACAGAGGGGCTGGGGGGAAGAGAGACACACAGAGGGGCTGAGGGAAGAAAGAGACACATAAGGTGCCTTGGAGGGAGACCCCAGAGGGGCCGCGGGAAAAGAGACACACAGAGGGGCTGGGGGGAAGAGACATACAGAGGGACTGAGGGAAGGGACACACGGAGGGCCTTGGAGGGAGACCCCAGAGGGGCCGTGGGGAAAGAGACACACAGAGGGGCTGGAGGGAAGAGAGACACACAGAGGGGCTGAGGGAAGAAAGAGACACACAGAAGGACTGAGGGAAGAGACACACGGAGGGCCTTGGAGGGAGACCCCAGAGGGGCTGTGGGGAAAGAGACACACAGAAGGGCTGGGGGGAAAGAGACACACAGAGGGGCTGAGGGAAGAAAGAGACACACAGAAGGACTGAGGGAAGAGACACACGGAGGGCCTTCGAGGGAGACCCCAGAGGGGCTGTGGGGAAAGAGACACACAGAGGGGCTGGGGGGAAAGAGACACAGAGGGGCTGTGGGGAAAGAGACACACAGAGGGAGTAAGGGGGAAAACACACACATGGAAAACGGGCTAAAATATACACTAAAGCTAAGATAATGGCTAGTGGGTATAAGACACACAGGTGAAGATCCCATTTATAACCTTGCCCTGGTTATATCTGTCAGTACATGTTATTATGGGTACTAGGGCTGATAGCATACTGAATGAAAGGATCCTATAAGAAGAACAGTACAATAACTCATCACCCTGCTACTAAACACAATGCTTTCCGGGTTTTTTACAACCTGCCCGGTTTAACGCGGGTAAAGGCGTTGCCATGGTAACGCGGAGGGATACTCATTGCGCATGTCCTCAAGTAAAAACAAATCACTGCGCGCCTCTAAAGACACGCCCATCATTCCATTGAACCCCAGTGACTGGTGGGCGTGTCTAATTAAGGTATTCCTCCGGCTTGCGCTCAACTTTGTGGCCGTTACAGTGGGGAAAGAGTCAGTAGGCGGGGCTACGTCCTCAGTGGGAAGAGAGCGGACAATGAAAGGCGGAGTCAGTCTGCTGGGATAAGGGGCGGAGCCAACATGTCAGTGGAGGTGGAGAACGAATGAGACTAGGGCGGGGTCAGTGTGTGGGGAATAGTGAGTAGTGCGTCGTCATGGGGACAAGCTACGATAAGGGGAGAGTCAGACATGGACGAGGGCGGTGCCAGAGTGATGAGGGCGTGATCAGAGGGTGATGTGGGTGGTGACAAACTGAGATGGGGCGGGGTCCGAGAGTGATGAGGGAGTGCTAGATTGTGATTAGGGCGGAGTCAGAGAGCTACGAGGGCGGGGTCAGAATGCAGGCTGAGGGGAGGGCCGAGCAGGCTGGGGGTACGGAGCAGTCCGGGGTTAAGGGGCAGAGAGAGCAGAGCTCGGAGACTGGCCTCGGGGAGCGCAGCTCGGACAGCATTCACAGACACCCTGCGGGGATTCGAGATGTGGCAGCCGGCCAGTGAGAGGCTACAGGTGAGAGCAGGATGTCAGGGAGGGAAAGCTGTGCTAGCCCGGTGTTACCGGGGCTCTGATAGGGGCGGGAGATCGGTAACACTGGGCAGCTTCACACCGTGCAGATAACGGTACCCGGAGATACAGTGATATCAGGGACTGCGGTCTCTGTGTGTGTGTGGTCTCACAACTGGTGGTTGACCAGTGACGTGGGGTGGCCCAGGGACGTCGTTGGGCCAGTGACGTGGGGTGGCCCAGGGACGTCGTTGGGCCAGTGACGTGGGGTGCCCCAGGGACGTCGTTGGGCCAGTGACGTGGGGTGCCCCAGGGACGTCGTTTGGCCAGTGACGTGGGGTGGCCCAGGGACGTCGTTGGGGCAGTGACGTGGGGTGGCCCAGGGACGTCGTTGGGGCAGTGACGTGGGGTGGCCCAGGGACGTCGTTGGGGCAGTGACGTGGGGTGGCCCAGGGACGTCGTTGGGCCAGTGACGTGTGTTGGGCCAGTGGCGTGGGGTGGCCCAGGGACGTCGGTGGGCCAGTGACGTGGGGTGGCCCAGGGACGTCGGGTGGCCCAGTGACGTCGGGTGGCCCAGTGACGTCGGGTGGCCCAGTGACGTGGGGTGGCCCAGTGACGTGGGGTGGCCCAGTGACGTGGGGTGGGCCAGGGACGTCGGTGGGCCAGTGACGTGGGGTGGCCCAGGGACGTCGGTGGGCCAGTGAAGTGGGGTGGCCCAGGGACGTCGGTGGGCCAGTGAAGTGGGGTGGCCCAGGGACGTCGGTGGGCCAGTGAAGTGGGGTGGCCCAGGGACGTCGGTGGGCCAGTGACGTGGGGTGGCCCAGGGACGTCGGTGGGACAGTGACGTGGGGTGGCCCAGGGACGTCGGTGGGACAGTGACGTGGGGTGGCCCAGGGACGTCGTTGGGACAGTGACGTGGGGTGGCCCAGGGACGTCGGTGGGCCAGTGACGTGGGGTGGCCCAGGGACGTCGGTGGGCCAGTGACGTGGGGTGGCCCAGGGACGTCGGTGGGCCAGTGACGTGGGGTGGCCCAGGGACGTCGGTGGGCCAGTGACGTGGGGTGGCCCAGGGATGTTGGTGGGACAGTGACGTGTGGTGGCGTCACTGTCCCAGGGACGTCGTTGGGCCAGTGACGTGTGGTGGCCCAGGGACGTCGTTGGGCCAGTGACGTGTGGTGGCCCAGGGACGTCGTTGGGCCACTTGTGTGGTGGCCAAGGGATGTCGGCGGGCCAGTCAAGTGAAATGTTTGGTGATCAGAGATAGAAGTAATGTGGTTGGCTATAGTACTTTCTGTGTGTAGGGATGACGGGACTTGTACAGTGTTTGTAGTTTGCTTGAGTGACTGGTATCTGGTATTATTTGGTACTCTGACATATAAAGTATTTGTTTGTACTGGTGTGTTGATTTATTTTATTTTTTTGAGTCAACCCCTAATTGAGCATTGCTGATGCCGAAAAGCAGGATTTTTTTTTTTTCTTGATGCAATGATTTTGCATAAATATCAATTGAAAATGTAATTACAAAATAAACTATATTGTTATCACATTATCATACAACAACACAGAACTGTATTTTTTTTTTTTCTAATTTTTTTGTTTTGCTTTATAGTATATATAAATATACTGTGTACCATTCTGATTATTCGTAGAGAAGCTAAACAGCTAGGTTATTTTACCAAGTGCACCAAATGGTCAGGTTTCCTCTGTACAAAACAAAGTGTTGTAAAGAGCCCTGGAAATCTCTTCTAACTTTGTGTATTGTAGTGTTCTGTAAGTGGCATTTAAAGGACCACTATATGCACCCAGATCACTTCAGCTTAAAGGACCACTATAGTGCCAGGAAAACATACTCGTTTTCCTGGCACTATAGTGCCCTGTGGGTGCCCCCACTCTCATGGTCCCCCTCCCGCCAGGCTCTAGGGGGAGGAAGGGGTTAAACTTACCTCTTGCTGCCGCGCGCGCATTCAGCCAGTCACATAGGAAAGGAAAGCATTCACCATGCTTTCCTATGGACGCTGGCGTCTTCTCACTGTGAAAATCACAGTGAGAAGCGCGGAAGCGCCTCTAGCGGCTGTCAATGAGACAGCCACTAGAGGCTGGATTAACCCATAGGTAAACATAGCAGTTTCTCTGAAACTGCTGTGTTTATAGAAAAAAGGGGTTAATCCTAGCTGGACCAGGCACCCAGACCATTAAGCTGAAGTGGTCTGGGTGCCTATAGTGGTCCTTTAAGGAAGTCGTCTGGCTGCCAGGTCCATCTAGGGTTAACCATGCCTGCGGTAAACATAGCAGTTTCAGAGAAACTGCTATGTTTGCAAATGGGTTAATCCAGCCTCTAGCGGCTGTCTCCTTGACAGCCGCTAGAGGTGCTTCCGCGCTTCTCAATGTGATTTTCACAGTGAGAAGATGCTGACGTCCATAGGAAAGCACTGAGACTGGCTGAATGCACGCCGCTCTTGCCGCGCATGCGCATTCAGACGATGACGGCAGAAGAAGGAGGAGATTCCCCAGGGAGCCCGGCGCTGGAAAAAGGTAGGAATTTAACCCCTTCCTCACCCTAGAGCCTGGGGTGAGGGGGACCCTATAGAGCCAGGAAAACAAGTGTTTTCCTGGCACTATAGTGGTCCTTTAAGAACTTCTTGCAGAGAATATGTTTATACTGCCTACCAGAGAATGTTTGTTCATTCAGCATTTTGGTGGAGTCCCTTTTTAAGGGTTTATAGTCAACCCTTAACTACATGTCTGTTGAGGTGCCTTTTAAACCATTTTATATATGCACGTGGCCTTATAAGAAATGTTACTAGATGGGCCAACATATTGTGCAACTTGCAATAGCAGTCCTGGAATTCATTATTTTTCTCTGCAATCTGTACCTTAGCAAGTTTATTTTACCCACACCCCCATTTGTTTCTGTTTACTGATCAGTCATGTTCCCAGCTCAAAGGTTTGTTTGGTTGGTGGAGACAAAAATAAAGTACCATGATGTATCACCAAGATATTGGAATATGTATTAATGAAGGGCAGTCATGGCGTTGGAGGTGCAGAAACAACCATTTTGGTGTTAGTACGTCCATTCTGCATTGCGCAGGTTAGCTTAAAGGGTTACTACAACCAAAAAAAACTAAATATTATTTTTGGTCAGAGGAACACTTCCTATACAGACCCACCTTACCCCCCAAAAGATAAATAGAAATAAAAAAATTAAGAAAGTTGCTCAAACTTAACTCTATTCCAGCTTCACAACCAGGTTTTCACTGCAGTCTGATCGTCCTCCACTGATGTCACTCCCCTTCACCGGAAAGGGAACATGGGCTAGTTAGAGGACATTGGTGGCGTGATGGGGATTGCCACCATTGGCTGTCTGTCATCCGCATGCTATTTGTGTTGATGACAAAGTCCAAATTTGCACAGAATTCACATTAGCCACCTGAAACCTCTGGGCTGACTAATGATACTCCAGTGATCCTGCCGGAGATGGCTACACCAACGGCAGCAGAGGGGTTAATATTTTTATGTGCAGGGTTTCACAGTAAAACATTGCACATACAGACTCCAGGCACTATGACACCTTCGCTGAACCTTCTAAGCTTGTTATTTTAATGTAAACAAAAGGTTTATCACTTTATGACAAAAGTGTTACACACATCATGCAGAATTATGTGTAGATATCTAAAGGAATTTTGCAAAGTTTTTTTTTTTCCAAAACCAAAATTATGTGAAATAACATGTACGCAAAGTTAATTTTGAGCAAGCCTTTTATAAACACATCTTACATATACCACCATTGCAAATGTGTAAAATATATATATCTCCCCCCCTCCCATGGCACTCAACCCCCAAAAAATATGTAAAAGTGAAACTACACTCAGGTGCTTACCAGCAGAGCATACAAACATAGTAAACACAGTAGCACGCTCTCGGTTTTCCAAGTGTATTAAAAAATTATCACAATCTTGGAGGTGTCCCTAGGGGCATGACAGGGCTGGCGCCACCGTTAGGCGAACTAGGCATTCGCCTAGGGAGCCTGCCTGCTGGGGGCGCACACCGGGATATTTCCTGGTGGGCTCCCCCTGTCTTGAACCATAGCACTGGACGAGCGGCTCTAGAGCCGTCCCCTCTCAGCACCGGGCTGCTCCTCCAGGTGCCCGAAGGTGGGGGCGCCCAGAGGAGCCCTGTCACAGTATGACAGAGCAGGCACCTTCTTATCTTGATGACAGGTGTCTTCTCTGCCATCAAATGCCGGTGACCAGAAGAGAAGGCAGGCGGCGAGGGAGGCTCTTCTTGCAGCCTCTCACTCGTGTGCCCTCTGTGATGCCGGGAGCCGGAATATGATGTCATTCCGGCCCCGACATACTAAACGACGGGCGGGAAGAGTGAGGAGCTGCCCCATACTGGACCCCAGGGAGGTGTGTCTGTCAGTGAGTGTGTGTGTGTCATCGTGTGTGTCTGTCAGTGAGTGACATGAAGGGGCAGTAAAATGGATCTTTGCCTAGGGCGGCAGAAATCCTTGCACCGGCCATGGGCAATGTAAACTCTGCCTTTTCTCTGAAAAGGCAGTGTTTGCATGAATATGCCTAAAGGGAGATATTATATTCATCAGAACACCTACATTAAGCTGTAGTTGTTCTGGTGACTATAGTATCACTTTAACTTGCAAACGTGTTCACTGAGATGTGATTTGCAGAGGCTCTGTCACAATCTGGGGTCTTTGCAAATTTGCTGACGGTGACTTTGCTGCTGGGGGTGTGGAGGTCAGGGAAAGGTGAGATTTATTTACCTAAACCTGTCACTTGTGGGCGCCACCATCCTTTTAATGATTTTTTTTTTCAGCTACTGGCACTTCATCTGGCACAAGCTTACATAGCATTGTATGCATGCGCGAATGTACATCATTGAAGCCTATGGAGGATTCCGCTAGACCCCGAAATTCCAACTCAGTCAATCTGAATATTTTATAAAGATTTGGTTTTTATGAAATATTTATTTCTGATGTGTGTGACAGAGCTGCTGTAGCCTCCTTCTATCCCTAAAACATTACTGTAAAGGAAAAGCTTTACATATTGTAACTGAACTGGGAAAGACATTTGGGCAAGTTGATGGAGTGTTCACTTGCTGAAGTGGGTATGGTGCCTTGAGTCCATGGCACTGAGTCCCACATCAATATTAGTTTACTCACCGTTTAGCAGAAATGCTCAGTCCCAGCAGCATGTTCACCAGTAAAGAAATGGTGTAGGTAGATCTATGCTTGGCATCACATCGTATCACCATATTTAGCAGACAATGATCGAATGAGAGCATGAACACTATTTCTTAACTACATACTGTCTCATCTACTTTCACCAATGTTTTTATCTGCGTACAATGCTACATTCTGTTTCTATTCCCAGACCGTGATCTGTTTTGAATGCTTAAGCAATAGTTTGAGGTTTTTAAGTCCCCCTCCCCTCGCCCCCAGCTTTCTCCATCTTTGGTACAATGAAAAACAGAAGAATAATATGAAAAGCGTGTTTTGATCTGGCTGAAACTTTCAAGTACATTAGGAGATTCAGCAAAAAGGCATGTTTCCCGCTAGCCTGGGAGACATGTCTGAGAAGCTTTTACACTGTAAGTGACTATAGAGCTGTGATTTTTAGATCCACAGGACTGATTACTGCTGTTGCTCCCAGACGTCATGGAATCTCAAAATACAGTGGTACCTCAGTTTACAAACGCCTTGTTAACATACCCGAATATAAGTCGAGACCCCTAATTTTACCCCAAAAAACTGGGAAAACTTATTGACTCGATTATAAAACTAGGGTGGGAAATGCAGCAGCTACTGGTAAATTTCTAAATAAAATTATATCCCCCCCAAAATTATATTAATTGAATATTTATTTCCAGTGTGTGTATGAGTGCAGTGTGTGTGATGCAGAGCCTTGGTGGGGGGGTGGGCATTTTTATTATTTTTTTATTTTTTATTTTTTTTTATTATTATTTTATTTTATTATTTAAATTATTTATTTAGATTTTTTTTTTTGTCCCCCTTCCCTGCTTGATACATGGCCAGGGAGGGGGGCTCTCATTCCCTGGTGGTCCAGTGGGGGGGCTGGCAGCGAGCTGTAACTTACCTTTCCTGCAGCTCCTGTCAGCTCCCTTCTCTCTCCTCCGGTCCGGTCAGCTCCCCTGTAAGTCTCGCAGTCTGTGAGCCGCGCTGAGATTACCGTGGCAACGCTCTGACCCCGCGGCTCTCGCGAGACTTGCAGTGGAGCTGACCGGAGGAGAGAGAAGAGAGCTGACAGGAGCTGCAGGAAAGGTAAGTTACAGCTCTCTGCCAGCCCCCAACAGGACCGCCGGGCTTGTAATGAGCCCGGTGGTCCTTGTCTGTATTATGGCAATGTAAGTTGCCATAATACAGACAGTGACTCTAGTATAAGACGAGTGGGGGTTTTCAGCACAAAAAATGTGCTGAAAAACTCGTCTTATACTCGAGTATATACGATAATTTTCTTTTTACAAATGAAAATCCATTGAAGATAATGCCTCGGTTTTTCCAATACAAAGCACGTTTCCCCAGTATGCATTGCGCCTGGGAGGTTTATACCGCCGCCCCAGTGCATGCTGGAGTCTGTGGGTAGCACGTGGTGTCCAGCGTGGAGGTGTTGGAGCGGCTTTTGCATCGCGTTTTGGAGCCATTCTTGATTTTATTTTTATTTTATTTTTTTTATTTTAATTTTTTTGCTGTGGTTTTGGGACTTTTTGGAACCTTTTTTTTGGGTGCGTTTCTCAAGCGGTGGAAAGGTAGGGAGCTGAGCTTTGTTGTTTGCATGCCTTTTATTGTGTGTTCTGCATTGTGAGTTGGTTTCCATGTCAGCTCATTTTGACTTTTTTCTGACCTCCAGAATAGATTAATTGGTTTTCAATGCATTCCTATGGGAAACCACGTTTCGGTTTACAATTTTTTTGCAATACAAAACATCCCGGGGAACGCATTAAATTCGTAAACCGAGGTACCACTGTAAATGCATTTCCACCTATACGTGGCTTTTACCTCTAGCTGTGTTACGGCAGGCCAGGCTGAATATATGAAAGTCTTAGTGTGTTATTGGGGACTTTACATTTGTCTTGCGTTAGAGTTTTGAAAAAGTCAGTGTAAAGCAAAATTATTTTACATAAAAGCTATATGAAGGTTGTGTCCCAGATAATGTTTTGATCAGAAATTATCAGGAAAAAACATATTTTAAGATTGTGAAATATAAACTGATTTTTTTTTGTTTTTTGTTTTTTTATGTTGTAATTGTAGAAAAACAGGATTCTTCATATTCAGAGAGAGGAATCGAAAACTGGGCATATATGAAAATAAATACGAACGCATGCACACGTCCATGGCAGTCATAAAACTTGGGAGAACCTGCCATTAATCCTCTAACTTCATGAGTAGGATTATATAGTTATAGCATCCAATAAGTGGCATTAAGAGTTATGAAACATATGTAGGTTTGCTTCATGATTTCCATATACATCTATAGATAGTTGTTCATAGTTTTTAATTCATCTGGTTTGTACAAACCAATCCATTATTTATGAAATTTATAGGATATGTGGCAGTTTTTCCATATAAAAAAATTATTTCTTAGCAGCTGATAAAATATGGAAAGATATATTTTGTATTTTAATTTATTTTTGTATTCTTAAAAGAACACTCCAAGCACTGTAGCCTCTATATCCCTCTGCAGTGGTCACGGTGTCAGGAGAACCCTGGAACCTCTACCCCACACTCACCTGCCAATATAAATAGTCCGTTTGATATTGGTTTCGCTTCTTACCTGGGATTTGCTGGGTACCTGTGACCGTCAGACACACTCTGGACTCTGAGTTAAACATGGTGCATGACCTCATTAACTGAGGGCAGTCAACTGATGCTCTCGGCCGTTGAGTTGGTCCTGCAAAACAGGAGCGTCTGTCTCTCCTTTTAAAGGAAGTGACTGGAGGCCAGTAGACACCAGTTAAGAAGTCAATCGGTTTGTCTCGCTACATTGGGAGTGCCAGGGCACTTCTGGCATAATAAGCAGTACAGTGCACTCTGGTGGTTCTGATGCTTTGAGTAAGGATGCAGGAGAAATCGGGTTGAGTGTATGTACAGGTCACAAACTCTACCACCAAGTATGTACCTTTTGGCATTTGAATATCTTCAGCACATTGGTGACAACTGAGGAGAGCTCTATTGCAACCTTTCAGGAGTCAAATGCCATACAGGCTGACTTCTCTTCCCAGATATCGCTGACCTAATTTCTGCCCATGTTTCCATGGAATTCATTGACTCTGTCTCAGCTGACTCTCTCAGCCTATCATTTCCTTCCAAATATTTACATAAGTGATTTAGCTTATGTGGTAGAGGAACTTCCACGAGCGCCAAGGCCACCCAAGTAAGCATCAAAATTTGACTCTTGTCACCGTAATCCATACAGCACAAAAATAGTTGTTATGGTGTTTAGACTGATCCTTTAATTCTTTGAACAACTATGAATTGTAACCGAAGAATTGTTTGTGATAAGAAAATTCCCTTTAAGTACTGTATGTGTTCGGCATTATTGTCTCTCCTTTCTACTTTCCATATTTCTGCCTAATGCATAAATAGATTTAGATTCACTGCAGAATGAATTTTTGTTGGTTCTGTATGTGTGCAAGTCTTCCAAAAAAAATGAATTGAAAACTTGAGTCAGATGAAACCGGGCTGGGTGGGCCGGATAGGGCTTTGTTACATTTTTCGTTGTTTTAATGGAACTAATTTTACAAGCAGTAAGCAAGCATCGAAAAAAATTGCTTTTGTTGTACGTGTAACTCAGGCTTGGAGTAAATGTTGCATGTTAAAACAGTCCAAAGAGTCCAAAATCTAATCATCTGAGACTGTTCTAGAGTGTAGACACATGACCTTTTATAGGAATGTATCCCATGTTCTTTACAAGGATGGTGCCTGGAGAAGTGACTAGCAATAGACTTAATGCATGCATCCTCCTGTCTTCTAATGAAACATTTGGCTGCATGTTAGCATTTTGGAGCAAGGGATGTTTAAACTTTGCTTTGAGTTTTGAGATCAAGCCGGGAGGGAGGGGAAGGTTACTAAACCAATGACAACGTATTCTTGAAACTACTTCGTCTGTCAGGGCGATTCCGTTTAACTGTTAATAGTGAGCAGTGGCTGAGCACAGAAACTTTTATTTAATTTTGTATATTTTTTTTTTTTTTTGGTAGCAATTTGTGGGTTTATTTTTATTTATTTATTTGCATTCATTTTTTTTTAAATATTATTTAGGAGTGTGTTTTTTGTTGTTTTTTTTTACTCTTTTGGTGGGTTTTTTTCCCCCCCGATTGGCACAGGGGTGACAAGGATGACTTTGTATATATTACCTGATAGGGTTTTTATTTAAATTTAATACCTTTTTAGATACCACAGGTTGGAGTAACCCTTTAAGCTCATTACAGAATTTACCAAAAAACAACAAGGAAAAATTTCAGATTTATCAGGTGTCTATCCCTTTAAACCCTCAATTTCCATGAGTGTAGCGCTTAAGTATAAATTTAACAGTTGTGAATATACATATGTAGTGCCAAAAAAGCACTTACCATCTATACAATGCTTATATTCCCATGTATATATATAAAAAAAAGAGATATATATATACAAATAATAGTGCAATATGTCTGAAAAATTAATGTTTAAATTGTAACGTAAATTAACTCACATTTTTTAGAGCCTTTTACAGTGGTAAGGCTCTAAACTTCCAAGCGTCTGTGTCTTTTGGGTAGACCACATAACCCCTTTCTCTCAGTAAAGGAACGTCTGTTACTCTCCAGAGTGTATAAGATAAAACAGAGAAAGAAACGTCCAAACTAAATGTAGTATTTCAAAATACCAATGTGTATCAGTATAAATGAAATCCAGAAAAGTGCTCACCTTTATTTAGAGCCTTTTTAACTGGCTCTAAGTATATAGGTTCAGTGTCCGTTTGTAGGGTGACACTATCCCTTTCTTGAATCACTTGTACAGGATGCAGGAAGTGAAGTATATAACAACTATGTTTATTATCAATATTAAAATGTATACAAACTATTATAAAAACAAAAAATATATAAAAACATATATAAATAATACTAATGTATTAAGTGGTCTGGCATAGGTCCACTTGCAGCCAAAACGCGTTTCACTGAAAATCGGCTTCCTCAGTCAGCTTCAGGGTGTCTTCTATCTTCTCTGCCTTTTTAAATCTTTATTTGCCCGCCAAATAATATCAAGGACTACATTACCCATCACTATATCGGTTTATAACCGGAAGTGACATCCACGAACGCAAAGAACCATGGGACATGTAGTAAGAACAAACCGGAAGTGACGTGACGCCATTTTGGACGCGTCATAACAAATCATTACGGACCGGCAAAAGAGAATTTTTGGCGGGCAAATACTCTGGAGAGTAACAGACGTTCCTTTACTGAGAGAGAGGGGTTGTGTGGTCTACCCAAAAGACACAGACACTTGGAAGTTTAGAGCCTTACCACTGTAAAAGGCTCTAAAAAATGTGAGTTAATTTACGTTACAACTCACACGTATAGTTTAAACTTTAATTTTTCAGACATATTGCACTAGTATTTGTATATATTTTTTCTTTTTTTTATATATACATGGGAATATAAGCATTGTATAGATGGTAAGTGCTTTTTTGGCACTACATATGTATATTCACAACTGTTACATTTATATTTAAGCGCTACACTCATGGAAATTGAGGGTTTAAAGGGATAGACACCTGATGAATCTGAAATTTTTCCTTGTTGTTTTTTGGTGATTTCTATGTGTGTTGGGTCTTTAGGAGTACCCACAGAGTGTATAGCAGCTAAATTCATTTCAATATCACAATTCTATAGCGCCACTTTTCCACAACCTGTGTGTGCACACTCATTACAGAATTTCTCCATTAAATTGGGGCATTTTTAATGCATATTTAAAGTGGGCTTTTTACATGTGGGGCTCTGCAATTTGTAAAAAGACCAGTTTTCACTTCCTATACAACATATCTGGTGGCTGATGGGAGGCAGAATCATTAGGGCAATATACTCATTTGGATTGCTTCCTCTTTAATGCTGCCATCATCACTTCTTCAACACATACTGTGACACATAGAAAACAGAGGTTTATGGAAGATCCTGTCCGACCGCAGGATCCTCTACAGCTCTTCTCACCCATGTGCAAGATGATGCTGTACATATAAAATGGAAACTGTAACACTTTAAAAAAAAAAAAGCTTTTTGCAACTTACCGTGTTTCTCCGAAAATAAGACCGGGTCTTATATTAATTTTAGTCACAAAAAACACACTAGGGCTTATTTTCAGGGTAGGGCTTATTTATTTACGTTACCAGTATGTACAGCTCTTTCTCTTTGCACTCATCTTGTCTGGGGATCAAAATACCATACTGTCTAATTAATCCACCCCCCCTTTAATAAATCCACCCCCTCTAATTAATCCACCCCCTTTAATTAATCCACCCCCTCTAATTAATCCAGCCCACCCTTTCATTAATCCAGCCCACCCTTTAATTAATCCACCCCCTTTAATTAATCCACCCCTCTTTAATAAATCTACCCCCTTTAATAAATCCACCCCCTTTAATAAATCCACCCCCCTTTAATTAATCCACCCCCCTTAATTCAACCCCCTTTAATTAATCCACCCCCCTTTAATCCACCCCCTCTAATTAATCCACCCCTTTAATTAATTCACCCCCTCTAATTAATCCAGCCCACCCTTTAATTAATTCACCACCCATTTAATTAATTCACCAACCCTTTAATTAATTCACCCCCTCTAATTAATACAGCCCACCCTTTAATTAATTCACCCCCTTTAATTAATTCACCCCCCTCTAATTAATCCAGCCCACCCTTTAATTAATTCACCACCCCTTTAATTAATTCACCCCCCTCTAATTAATTCAGCCCACCCTTTAATTAATTCAACCCCTCTAATTAATCCAGCCCACCCTTTAATTAATTCACCCCCTCTAATTAATCCAGCCCACCCTTTAATTAATTCACCCCCTCTAATTAATCCAGTCCACCCTTTAATTAATTCACCCCCTCTAATTAATCCAGCCCACCCTTTAATTAATTCACCACCCCTTTAATTAATTCACCCCCCTCTAATTAATCCAGCCCACCCTTTAATTAATTCACCCCCCCTTTAATGAATTCACCCCCCGCCCCCTTTAATTAATTTAGTCCCAGATATAAAATATCTACCGGTACTCACATTTCAAAGATTCCTTGCCGAGTCCGACCACTGGGTGCCTCACCGCCCGGAAATGGATCCTTCTGCTGAAGATCCGTGAAGGCAGACTGACGGCACTGCGAAATGTCGTCATCACGTTGCGCAATGCCACGGCCCGCAACGCTCCTCCTACAGTAGAAGAAGGAAGTCTCGCCGCAAAGGTGCAATGCCTAGGTCTTATTTTCGGGGTAGGGCTTATATTGCAGCCCACCCCGAAAATCCGACTAGGGCTTATTTTCGGGGTAGGGTTTATTTTCGGGGAAACAGGGTAGAGAAAATGTGCCTTGTGTAAATTCAGTTGCCCTGAAATTTCAGTAAAATTCCATCACAGCACATGAGAAGGTTACATTTTCCATTAAAAAAAAATAAAAATCTATATTAACAAAAAAAACTGACTTGTCACTTGATGTTTCTGATAAACTACCTTGTTTACTACTCATGCTTGGCGTTCAAAATAAGATGTGTTATAGCTGCTTCTTGTATAAACAAACAACCAGACGGTGTAGACACAGAGGGGTGGTTAATGAATAGCCCAATTGCACAGTATGGACAAGTTATTTAAAAAAATGAAAAAAGGGTATTTTGGCAAATATCCTACCACACTTAATCTGTAAATGAAAACTACCGTAGTTGGCCATTCTATATGGACTTCTTTTTTATATGTGTAATGTACACAGCTCAGCCAATGATGGCAATGGGAACTGATCTGCTGTAAGCTAAGCAGTCTGCATTTGAAGAAGAGGTCACCAAGACAGACATATGGACAGTATATAACTGCATGTCTGTCTTTTGCCAGATTGACTGCAGTTTAGCTGTGGGTCGAAAGAATCCGCTCATTCACTAATAAGATATGCATAACCCTAATGCTGTTATCGTGGAAAAGACAGCGCAAATATAAACACTTGCCTATATCTGATTTCATGTATGTATGTATGTATGTATGTATGTATGTATTTTTACATTGTGAAATGGAAGCAATGTTTACAAATGTTCCAACAGTTTTAAAACTAACCTATTCATTTGTCATAATGCAACCAAGGCAGAATGGCAGACTGAATTCCCTCTACCTGCCATTTTCACTTTTTAATTATTGTTATAATTCTGCAGAGCTGTACAACAGAAGGAATACAGAAAAATAACAAACATATAGTGATACAAAACGAACAGAGGACCTGGTCTGTGAGCTTACAATCTAACAATTACAGTACTTTTTAAACAAAGTGTTTAGCAAGCCTTTAATTCTTGCATTAAATATCATTTATTGTCTATTCTCCTCTTTGTAAACTGTTATTGAGGAAGGCATCAGTCATTGCATTGTGTACATTTGGCTGCTCATGCAGATACATTTACTGTTACTATATGATTGGTTTTTCACAGCTCTGACTGATACCCTAACTAGTTCCAGGTCAGAGGAGACTGTCAATATCATGCAGAGAGTCTGAATTGTAAAAGGGAAATGTTCTGAGAGGGGCATCTTTCCAACACCCCCTGTGAAAACTGAATAAATACTACTAAAATGGAAGGGTGCCTATTTTACATTATTTGTTATTTAAGCCGACCAACTAGCAAAAAGTTCAGATTCATTGAAGTGAATTCTAAACCAGCCAGCCTGTGACTGTGGCGGAATTGGAAAACGTCTCCAAGTAGTCTGCTGTTACTTTGAAATGCTAAAATAGTTTACAGTTACAGAGTACTTTGAACAGTACTTGACCTTTTTTGATATCTGCATTTAAAGAAAATTATTTCTCAATAGCTGAGGTCAGAGGTTCTTCCTTTTTATGAAATTTCTTTGTTTGTTTTTGTTTTTTTCGCATCTGCGACCTAACGTACATATGTAGAATTAGCTTGGTGACCCCATCTCCAACTATATATCCTAGTACAGGTCACTAACCTAATTTTATAACCATATAAATTCTGTGAAACTCTTTCTTTCATTGGTCTCTTCCTGCTGCCAATTAAATATGTGCAGTTTTCTGGACCTTTTCTATGACTAATATGATGCACTTGTTCCATACATTGAGGACCTGGTAAAATAGCAATCCCATCCTTGAGGTTAAAGGGTTAAACTTTTTTTTTTGGGGGGGGACACTGCTTTTGAATAGAATAACACTTTTTGGGGTGGTCCCCATCCTCCCAATTATAAAAAAAAATAAAAAAATTCTCCCTTCAATCCAGACATCCTAATATCATGTCACTCACTCTTGCTTGAAGGGGAGGTAACGGAGGACAAACTGAAGGATTGACAGAGGCAGCACGGAGGGGTTGGGAGCGGTTCCGCCATTGGCTGGCTGTCTGCATCCTGTATGTGCTGGTACCAGAAGATAATATTGCTCTTAGCATTGACATTAGCCAGCCGGGAACATTGTTGGTGGAGCTACATCTCTGGCAGTTAAAGGGTTAATCTGTTCACTCTGCATGTGCAGAGTTTCAAAAGCCACTGCACATAAAGACACCGAGCACCATCATCACTTCAACTCACTGAAGTGGTCATGGTGCTTGTAGATAACCCTTTAAGAACCACTGGCATAGTTGCTTTGAAGTTTTGCAGAATGACCGCTTCATAATGTTTTATGGAAGTAGTGTGTGGTTGCTTTTTATTCATTTTTTAATAACCCCTTGACACCCTTTGTAACCTGAATTCTGTTGTAAACCTTTGACCACACCAAACTAAAATCGGAATGGTTGACGGTTCTTAAAGGATCACTATAGGGTCAGGAACACAAAAATGTATTCCTGACCCTATATTGTTAACACCACCATCTAGCCCCCCTGGGCCCCTCATGCCTCTATAAATATAGTAAAAATCTTACTGTATTCAAGCCTGAAGCTGTAAATCTGCATGCTGTTAGACTCAGAAAAACAAGCAGTATGCTGACATGTGGTAGTCTGATCCAATCACAGTGCTTCCCCATAGGATTGGCTGAGACTGACAAAGAGGCAGATCAGGGGCAGAGCCAGCATGATTCAAACACAGCCCGGGCCAATCAGCATCTCCTCATAGAGTTGAATTGAATCAATGAATCTCTATGAGGGAAACTCAGTGTCTGCATGCAGAGAGTAGATACTGAATCACAGGATGTTGTGCACAGTGCTGCCCTGTGCTCTGCTGACAGCAGATCTGAGTGGATGGAGGCATATTATGCCTCCATCAACTCCGAAGTCCCTCTGGTTCACTCTGAGTGACTGCAACTGGGGGTGTTTCTAGCTTTCAATGTAAATGCTGTATTTTCTCAGAAAATAGTGTTTACATGAGAGAGGCTACAGGGAGATATAGTTCTCACCTGAACAACCTCATTAAGCTGAAGTTGTTCAGGTGACTATAGTGTCCCTTTAAAATCCCTCAGCCCCACTAACTGCTATTGACGAGTTTATGGGTGCAACCTAATTTTTATTTAACTTGTTTTGCCCCAGTGGAATTTGGGTGTTTAATCCCAAAATGTTGACCACTAAATGCCACGAGTTATGTTTGAGCCTGAACTTTGCAACTGAAAGGTGACTGTCCATTCACAAACGTTTGTCTCTAAATTTATTAATCTTTACAACCACTGTTTTGTATTTATTTTTGTTCTTATAAAGTCTAATCCAGGAGACGACTTGGTTCTGGCTCCTACACTATAAGTTTTATTCACTAAAGTGAGACTTTAAATGTAAGGGCAGAGCAGCCAAACCGAAAACCATAGCTGAATTAGAGCATTTTTCCACTTCTGTTATATTGACCTTAAATTTGTAATTCACACTTTAGTAAATAACCCTTTCACTGTGATTGGTGTAATTCTCCATCTTTGAGCTTCTTGGTACCCGTTGCCGTTGATTCTATATACTTGGATAGCTCTCCATGAACAGTCTGGTGTATTCAATAGTTTAGTGTTTTAGAGGTTTCTCCCGAGTGACACGTATTCTGGAAATCCCAGGAGTGCCAAAGGCCTCTTGTCCTTTTTAGCTGGAGCCGTGCCTCCTTTTCGTTTGCTGGAAAATCTTCTCCAGATGGTGGGCCGGATGCGCTGCCAGATGAATTTACACAATCCAACAGACAGAGGTTTTTTTGGCAGGTCTCGAGCAGCTTTAAATCTATCCGAGAACTCTAGGGAATTGATATAAAACATCTTACAAGGCAAGACCCAGCATACAGCTCACAAGGTTTTTACAGCATTGAGAAGCCTAGTATCCTTGTATCCTGGATAACACATGCTACTGTACTGCTTAACGTAGGGAAATCCCATGTTGGATGGGTCTCTGATTTACCTGAAACATTAATCAATAAAAGAGCGTTTTAGATTTCATTTTATTTTAAGTTGTGCTTACAGTTTTGAACTCTGTAAACTATTTAAACTCTTAAATAAGCTTTGCATCCATAAACCGATATTTTTCATTGTGATGTATTTTTTTGGACATATATATTGTGTGTGTGTATATAATATTTTTTATTTTTTTTTTTTTTATAAAATGTATCTAGTTATTGGCTTATATGTATTAGTTTAGTGCACAATGAGTGTACATTACATGTAATCTTTTATTTTCAGTAATTTAAAAAAAAAAATTTTTTATTTAAATTTTCCTTTTAAACTATAATGTAGTTGTGGCCTCTCTCTCCTCTCCCAAATGTGACAAATTAACTATCATCTGCACAACTGACCTTATCCTATTATACTCCGCTTTAAGATGGTATAGGAAAGTCTTGGTGCCAGTCAACCGTATGCGTCACCTGCGACTGTCAGTCTCATAAGCTATGAGAAATCAAGCCAAACACTGGAGGCCAACACTAGCCTTCTTTCACCTGTGTGAGCTCTCCCCGTTTTATTTATTTCAGTGGAGATTAAGCTATGTATCTGTGTTATGTCATTTGCGATGCATGCTTGCCAAAGATGATTCTTGCATGAAGCGCAGCAAGGGTTTGTGGGAGTGCTTCCATGGCAAAACAAGGCTGTGAGCAGATTTTAGTAACATTCCGCCACGCCATTTCATATCCATGTGCTGAACCATTGTAGGGTTTTGCACTTACTGCATTTAAACACGAATATCAGTGCTTGTTCCATGATTACTGTTGCAAATTATTAATATATTTTAAGAATTTTTTTTTTTTTTCTGTAAATAACTTTTGTATTCCAAAATCCAAGTAATGAAAAAACACACGATAAAAAGTGGTGCAGTAATCCATAGTGTAGATGGGGAAACAATGACTTGGGAATAGTTATAAATATGTAAATCAAAAAACACACAATGCTTTTTCACTTTGAAACAAGTTACACCTCCTCTTAAAAAAAAAAAAAAGGGGAGGGGGGGGGATTAAAATGTAAAGAAAATAAAATGAATTTTGTTACCTTCTGACATTTTGCAATTTTATGTTGAAAATTCATATACATTATCTAAGCATAGAAATACACTTTAAGAAAATTCTGATTTCACTGTGTGACGTTAAATTGTTTAAATAAAATATCACTTGGCAGACTCCCTCACAAACTCACTTAGCATCTAAATTAGGAATTATAATAAATATTACATAAATCTAACAATCAACCTTTTTATTGACACCTGAAAACTTACTTGAAAGAGGGCGACTTCTTTTAAATGAGGCCATCTTTTCTTTAACGGGAGCTAAGCTAACTTAACCCCCATGATTTTGTAACCTATATACACGATGGTGCAGTCATCATCTGCAGCTAAAGGTAGGTTTTCTCCTGGCTGGAGTGGCCCAATAAATGATTGGTGGTAAGTCCAACTTAAAGTGACCCTTTAATAATGAGTTGTCTCAGCTGATGTTGTAAAATGAATTTTAAGACCTTTCAGTCAGCACAATCTGTGTGAAGGTGTTGGCTTTCGTGGAAGAGCTGATTTTGCAGAATTCCAAAGTTCTCAGCACACAGCTTCTCAGAGAGACCTTTGGACTGTCATTGCAAGACATAATGTTATTGGGGTGACACTATTCCAGCATAACCACATACTTCTATTTTTCTCATTTCATAATTGCTGAACTTGACCATCAATAGCTTCTTGTATATCAAATGTGTTTCCTCTTGTTCATCTTTTCCTTGAGTTCCCCTTCTTCAACTTCCTCTTACCAATGTTTTTCATATTTATTTATTTATTGCTGAGTTAGGTTCGGATATCATGACAAATGGCTGACACTATAAGCAACCATACCCCACCCTCTGTTGCTAGCCATTGAAGATATGCTTTTTTTTTCATTATTGAGGGGATGGGTTATGAATTTGTTTAATTTGAAAAAAAGCACTGGATGAAGACACCATATATTGGCTGCTGCAGTTGGTGTCTTGATATGACAAAGGAGGTTTGAGTCCATAAAGAGTGCAGGACATCTCATTTCTGCCTCTGCATTGTTACCAGTTTGTTTACTAATAGGCTCATTTGGTGAGTGCTCAGTGTTTGTACTATGTCTTATACATTGTTTTGGTATGTCTTTATGATTACAGTTAATTTGTCCATTAACTTCTAGCGAAGTTTAACCAGTCTTAGAAAACCCTTTATGGTTTGTTAGTGCGCCCATTTTGTTTATTTAGCGATGGCCTTTTGTGGATTGGTTTCTCTGTGGCAGGCCTGATCCTTGTAAGATGTTTCGGGGGGGAGGTGAATGGGTATTTTTTCTGTTCGTATTAAGTATTCTTGTGCTATCAAATGTGGATCTTGTACTAAATCTAAGCTCTGCAGTGTTTCCGGTTCAGTTAAAGGATTAGAGACACACAAAGTAAATCATATTGTTTACTTTTGTAAGTAAATCATATTACTAATATAAGTAATTTTATTGCTCTCGATTGTTCGTGAGGAACATGTGTTGTACAAAGTGGGCGCTGGAGGATTGCGGCCGCTTTCTAGTCAGCCTGAATGTCTAAGACCCTGAACTTGTTTTTGTTTGTAGCTTTCCGGGAAGTTAAATGACCTCTCTCACACTGCTCTTTGCTTTCTGGCTAGGTTTTGGGTATGGAGTAAGTCGTAGTTTGACTGAATGCCCACTTTGATCGTTGTATAGAAAATCTTACAAACAGCAAAAGGACAACGCCCTGTCTGTGTGCGTGCGTGTGTGCGTGCGTGCGTGTGCATGTTTTATTTGTATATTTTAAGAACAATAAATTAATTGGGATAAGTAACAAAGCTGAGAGCAAGGCCGCAATAAGTAAATCAATAATGATCACCGTTCTGGCAAATACAATAAGCTTTGACAAATACACCAAAATAAGAGTTTATAGTGGCTTCCATGGAATAGAAATAAAAATATAAAAAAAATAAATTATAATACATCAAAAGTGAACTGTGTGAGAAAAGTGCAAAAAATGAAAGTGCTGACTAAATACCCTACAACACTCTGGTCACTGTAATCAGCTTGTTCCAGCTTTAGGTAAGTGTTCTAGACAAATACAAGTGGGAAAAGTATCAATGGAATTCTAAAATTGTAACGTTTGCTAGCTTTTGTAAAAGAATAATTTATAAAGAATGTAACAATTAAGTTCAACATATGTATGCCTTTTTAAGTAAAAATGGGAACCGCTCTAAAAAAAAAAAGCTAGTCCATTGCTAAGGTAAACTGGCTAACACCAAATAAAGTATTTTCAAAGGGATAAATGATCCCTCAAAACCATTAAGAACGTGAAAAAAGAAATAGTAAAAGCTATAAACTTAAATTTCTGTAACTGATCAATACATTGATGACTAAATAAACTAATAAAACCTCAAAATCTCTGATTGTATAAAAATACGGTCAACTGGTACATTACAGACCGGTTATACCTAGTGTGGGTAGGCAACCTTTTAGCAGCATTGTGACTAAATAAGATTGTGATCTCCTATTATTTTTTTCAATTGCGGTTTGAATGATGTTGCTGTATTCTGCTTGTGTTATTTATACTGCAGTTGCTTTGTATTGTTTGTGCTTATATGAGCTATTATATTGTATATGTTCATGAATAGTTTGTGGTGTTATGTATGGGGCCTTCTTGTGGAATTGTGTGTTTGAATGAAATGTCACATTGTGTATGTGTGGGGCTGTTTGGGGTATTGCATGTGAGAGACTGCTTGTGGGGTTGTGAGCATGTATGTGGATTGTTAGTGGTGTTACGTTTGTGCAGACTATGTGTGTGTGTGTGGGCTGTTTGTATTATTTGTATGAGGGGAGGGTTTTTCTGCAGCTCTGTGTATATCTAGCAGTGTGGGTGGCTTCCCTGGGTTCCAGTGGGAACCGGGCTGGCAAGGTACAGGAGCTGCAACAGGACATGCGGGCTGCTCTGCTCCAGTGTTGATTCCCATTCACAAGTGTTGGGAGGAAATTAACTGAGATCACTTCCACTATGTGCTGCAATGTATAAATTTAGGGGGGGGAGGGGGGTTTCTTCACCACCTTTTCGTATTGGCAGATATCTGAAGTTTCACTGAGACTCCTGATAGGCCAGACCCTGATTGGCTCTGGCAGCTTTGAGTGCCATGCAATGGCACACGTGCCATAGGTTTCCTACCTCTGACCTAGTGTGATTCTAGATCTATTATAATATCTGCTAAGCCAGAATCCCCTAAGTAAAGAAAATCCCTCCGTATATTTACAAGCATCTCTTTGCAAGGAATGAGCTATTAAAGTCCTGAAAAACGATCTGTTTCTAAGGTACTACTGAATTATAAAAGAGATAAATTACATGTAAAACTAGACCAGGCTAGTTATTATGGAGGATCAATATGGTGGATGTCATCTCTCAACTTAATGTACTGGGGCTTAATGTTCTGGAGGGCCGGGGAAGTGGCTACCTAGAGCATGACATGAGTAGCTTGACTTGCTAGTGTTGGGAGAAGTGGTAAGATTGGCTAGCTAGTATGGAGGGGAGGTGTAGTGTTCCCCACTATTGTAGGGAGAGGTGGCAGGAGTTACTAGCTAGAGTAGATGAGTGTGCTGTTACTAGCTAGTGTAGAAGAGGTTTTAAGAGTGGCTAGCTAGCACAGACAATAGAGCATGACATGACTATCGATCATAGGGAGAGGTGGTAAGAGTAGATAAGCATAGATAACAGGTGCATAAGGGATGGAGTTAGCATGGCTAGCCGGAGTAGGGCAGGAATAGGAGTGGCGAGCTATTGCATAAAAAGGCAAAACGTGATGGTAAATCCAGGGGATATTGTGAATGTGAGAGATGGACAGGCAGTACGCATGGAATAAACCGTACACACTGTAAGTGATCATAAAGGGATTTATTTCGCTTTCTTGGGCACCCCTTCTGACCTGCAGTTATTTTCTGGAGCTCTTTTATACTTACAGGAAAGAGAAGATGGTGTAATAAATACGCCATGTAATGTGGAGATTTGCCTCAGTTTAAAGGACCACTATAGTGCCCTGAGGGTGCCCCCACCCTCAGGGTCACCCTCCCGCCGAGCTGGATGGAGAGAAAGGGGTTAAACGTACCTCTTTCTCCACCGCTGGGCGGGGAGCTCTCCTCCTCCGATCCTCCCATGCGCTGCGCGCGCATTCAGCCAGTCTCATAGGAAAGCATTAATAATGCTTTCCTATGGACGCTTGCGTGTTCTCACTGTGATTTTCACAGTGAGAAGCACGCAAACGCCTCTAGCGGCTGTCCATGAGACAGCCACTAGAGGCTTTGGAGGCTGGATTAACCCATTTATAAACCTAGAAGTTTCTCTGAAACTATGTTTATTTAAAAAAAAAAAAAGGGTTAATCCTAGAGGGACCTGGCACCCAGACCACTTCATTAAGGTGAAGTGGTCTGGGTGCCTAGAGTGGTCCTTTAACAGACAGCTGAATGGAAGTGCAAATTCAGATGAAATACCCAAATCTGCATTTTGTGAATAACTTAATGGGTCAGAACAGCTGAACTGTGATCAGATGCTGTTCGGTTGCCTTTTTTGTATTTGGTGAATACACACATTATTTCCTGGTCTCTTTATATAAAAAATGTTGTCTGTACTGTGCGTACTGGGTGCACAGGTTTTTTTTTTATTTTTATTATAAAACATGACTCAGACTGACAGTTTATTAATTTTCAATAAAGATTGCTTTGCTGAGAAACTTAAAGAAACACTCTAGCGTTAGGAATGCAAATGTGTATTTATATTATAGTCTATAGTGACACCCCCTCCCCGCAAGGGTTAAAAGGTGGCTGGTAGCTGACACGCCTCCTTAGCTGAGATAGTCAGTCGGAATGATCACATCCAATCCAAAGCTTGGCAAAGCACCACACTGCACCAATTAGATGGTCTCTATGGGACCTTCTGATTATAAAAGCAGAGTTTCACTTGGTTATTTTTGAGGAATTGCCTCTAGTGATTGTCAGTATGACCATCACTAGAGGCAGGTTAACCATGCAATGTAATCATTACTGTTGCTGCAAAATGGCAATATTTTACATTGCAGGTTAAAATTAGAGCCTATAGTGTCCCTTTAAAAATGAATGTTACTAAAATTCATGTTGCAAAATGCATGAGAATAAAAAATATTTATAGTCAATTCTGGTAGTGAGCTGGTTAAGTTTATATATACATGGTTGGCTTACATGTAGGGTTTGAAAGCTGCTTGCTCTTCTGAAGTAATAGAAACAAGACGCCACACTCAAAAGGCTAATATATAGCTTTTTTTAACGTAGAGAATACATCAGACGTCAGACTGTTTTTAAAGACCACAAAATTGTTAAACCTGAGTAAGGGGGGGAAAAAACAGTGAGAATTCAAATAAAATATATTATAATTCCCACATATATTATGTGCTTTATATGAACATACATATACACATAAAAGTGTGTTTTAAAAAAAAATTCTAAAACCTCATTCAGTTATGTAAAATACAACATCTGCCAAACTAAAAGGCCTGGGATCAGAGACAGATTAGAAAGGGGAAAAGGGGAAGGCTTGGTCAAAAAAAAAAAAAACTTTAAAGAGGTCACATCTGGAGAATATAGGAATTACATGGTCACAGTTGAGCATGGAATCTTAGAAATCTCACAGCAGTTAAGTCCAAGCTTTTAAAGCAGCACTGACAATGCTGAACTTTTTGTGAAAAGAGAGGTTTTTAATTTAATTTCTTTTTAAACTAAAAAAAAGTTGTAATTTTATTGAATTTACTAAGCAACGTTACACATACAGGAGTATATTAAAATATTAATTGGTACACAAAATATCGAAGTATCCTGTATCTTGTAAGTACAATTAAATAATACATTTGTAAAATGAAGGTCATGAAAGTATTAACGCAAAGTATGCAGAGCTAAGAGGCGACTGTACGGATACTATGAAGCTTCCTTTATGCTGTCATTTTGAGCCAATTTGCAGACTTTAAATGTGTTTTTGTAATAAGAGTTTATTAAGCCGTAAAAAAAAAATACAGAAATGAAAATTTGTTTAGCAATTCACATAAAAAATGTGCATAATTATGTGAACAGACACACTGTCTGTTAAGGGGATTAAAGGAATTGTGCACACTCTGAGGGGTCAGAAATAGAGTTAAATCAATGAAACATTACGAACTATAGTATGTCAAATGTTTTCCAATGGGCAATCAGACTACATTATCGTTCGTGAGTGAGATAGATCCGCCCCCTCTGATGCATAAGAAAGGTCTCCTCTGTCACTCCCTCCCGGAACAATCCTAAAAGGAGCAGAGGTAGCTGTATTGGAATTTGCAGACTTCTCGACAAGCTGGTAATTATTTCTGATTGCCCTGAAACTGAGGCTTTATATATCATTTGCAAACAGGACATACTTTCAAATGAGAGAAATCTCAATGTATCTTTCTTGGTAAAATATTTTATAAATAAATATTGCTTTAGAGTTGTGCAGGTTGTATTTTTGTTATTAACTGGATTATGTAATTTGCTTAATCTCTAATATACATTTTAAATAAAAAATATGACACTCATGGGGGGGGGGAAAGGTTAATACGAGTTCTAAGTGATTTTCAATGGGTTATTCGATGGTGTGAATTCCAGAGTAGTGACAGTTTCCCTTTAACTGAAAAGAAATAGATTAGCATTCTTTTAATAATCATTCCCACATGCTTTGCCACTGGGCAAATACTCATTAGCCACCAGCCGGAACCAGCCATGATTAGAAGACCTGACCTTGTCACAACAAAGTTGTGAGATTCCGATTCCTTTCATCTGCCAAAGCTGGCAATCCTAGAATAGTGGTAACTCCCAAGCTGTTTCTTTACACTCGTCTCATTTGCTCTGGACTCTGGTACAGCTTTCAGATTCCTGAGAGAATGGAAGAAATTATATACTAACCTTTTATTTATTTTTATACATTGTGTTTAAGTGAAGTTAAATTATCCACATTTTTTTCCCTAATATTTCGGATGCCTACTTTTCTAACTTAAATGGGAATTTTAATTTTATAAATATTTAGAAAATGTCCCACATTGCAATTGTGGAGCAGAAACATGGTTTATTTTCTCATCTCCTCTGTAGATGGCTACATATAATGAAAAAAATCTGGAAGTCACAATTCCCCTTTAAACTTCTATAACTAAACATGAATATGCTTTAAATTCAACCCACCATGCGATACCTTGCCCAGTATTGGTATGCAGACGTTACACTATATACACATTGTAAGCCGATGACAATGTGAGACCTATCTTATTTGAGTTGAATTTTCATTTTACCAACTGTCCACAGAACGCTGCGTTTTAGATGCTGGGCGTGAAAAGTACACCCAAATAACCCACACCACCACACAATGAGGGCTCACAAAGGCAGTGATGGTTAATCTCATTACTGCAGGTATTTGTGAACTGCATTTATTTATTATTTATTTATAAAATATTTTACCAGGAAAGATACATTGAGATTTCTCTCGTTTTCAAGTATTTCCCTTGATGCTCAGCATTCTTTTTTTTTTTTTATGCTTAATTTTGTAGTTGTTTTTTGGGGGGGGGAGAAACAACATTTATACTGGCCAAGAAAGGCTGGTGGCCTGGGGCTACCTATCCTATATCTCTATCAACCCAGTTGACCCCAATAGTCATGTGGCATACCTCTCCAGATGAGAGGAGGTGGGTTGATTTGGAGTTGGTACTCACTGGTCCGCTTCCCCCCCCAATTTTACATGTTGTTACCAATGAGACACAGACCAATAATTGCCCAACTATCCTAAATTACCTTCGGCCAAATTATCCCTGACCTCCTTTTCCATCTCATATGACCCTATACCTAAGGCCTTTCCTCCTGGCATGAACCCTAGAGATTTTAGGGGCCTGAAATTTACCGGACTGCAAAGGATTGGTCACCTATATCCGATCATTCATACCTTTTTAATGAGTTACAACAAAGGGCCGGGCTGACCCCAAGAGATTACTTTAGATATAAACTTTGCATGCTCGAAGTGACTTAAAACAAACTGTTCAGACTCACCTAACTACATTCGAAAGTCTATGAACACACAAAGTCCCCCCCAAAAAGGGTTGATCCTCCGGCTTTATAAGCACTTCTTCAATCACCCAAACAAATGGACAACCTTAGAAACACTGAGCTGTGAAAACAAGACCTGGGTGTGGAGTTGGAGGAGATTTGGCAGGCAAAAACCAAATCCTCCAACTGTGTTACGTCAATCATTGAAACTCCTATTCCGCTTGTACACCACACCTGTTAAACAATTTTGTATGGGGAAGGCTGAATCTACCAGTTGTTGGAGGCGTTGTGTACATTGGGGAACTTATCATTACAGGTGGTGGGCATATCCTGGCATGCTATCATCAAAAACGAGACCCCTCCGTTCGAGATAGTGAAACCTAAAATCTGGGAAAACGTCTTTAGTGGACAATTTGACAGCACATTTTCAAACCTCTCTCTCCCAGCAGTTTAGAAAACAGTGGTGCTGTGGGAAGAATTTGAGGCTGTGGGAAGCTCTGGAGCCATAGGATACCGGTCCTATTCCCTCCACTTTGGCAGTGGTGGCGACTCTTCTCTGACCTCCTCTTCAGCTTCTATTCTCTTGTCTATTCCTTATCCTACCTTTTCTCGATACCTTTCTTCTCTTTACACAGGATACCGCATACACATAGTCCAAAGGAAGGTCTGGAGCACATCACCAAATGTACAGAAAAAAATTAAAGCCAACCCTGAAGGGTCAAGACCTCTCTGTAGTAGCTGCCTAGATTAACTGTGGCATGTAGTAAAAATGTGTACATGGTGTACATTGACTGCAGAGCGTCTCGCAATCCCTTCTGGTGATACCATTACGGAGCTCAGGGCTCCATGTTCTTAGACAGCAGTAACTAATTCTATCTCTCTGACCCCATGTACTTTGTTTGTTTTGTATGTTAATGTTTTGGGCTGATGGCCCTGTTCTGTGATATGTAAAATTATGCCACTGATGTTACATCTGCGATTCTGTATTTTATGTGCAGTAATAAAGAATTAAAAGTAAAAAAAAATAGTGTTTTCCAAATATGTTTATCTAAAGTGTAGTATTCAACAGGTACATGGGGTTAAGTGGACAGATCTTAAGAAGTCATAGGGCAAGGCCAGACCATCTTTAGATTTCACTAGCTGCCACAACAGTCGGTGACAAGGAGGCAACAAATTAAAATTTTAAAGGGACACTATAGGCACCCAGACCACGTCATCTCGTGGACGTGGTCTGGATGCAGTGTCCCTGTCCCACTTGTGCTGCAATATAAATCCTTTCAGTTGTTGAGAAACTGCAATTAAATTAGAAGTGCTTTCAGAGTTTACCGGACTCTAGGTCGATAACTCACACTGGACATCCTCACGCTCTGCATGAGGACATTACATCAAACGTCGGTGAAAACCCCACAGGAAAGCGTTATGTCAATGCTTTCCTTTGGGGAGGGCCTAATGTACTTACCGCGCATGCGCATTATGTACCCTGTTGGATGACAGAGGAGGCAGAGCGCCGACCCACCGCCCACAGAAATCGGCATTGGAATCAGGTGAGTGAGTAAAAGTGTTTTTGTTGTTGTTGGTTTTTAACCTTTTATGTGAGGGAGGGGGAAGGACCAGGGGCCAGGGGCCACGAGCCACTGTAGTGTTAGGAATACAAATCTGCATTTCTAACACTATTGAATCCCTTTAAGGAGAAACTTTTTTTATTTTTATTTATTTATTTTTTTGTTATTAATGAAATGTTCAATATTCACGTTGCAACATTTCACCCACAGAAAAACGTAATGCCAGAGTGTATCCCACAACTTGGAAGCACAAACTGTTCGCTTCAATGCTGAGCAAGCACATGGCAGCTTTCCCAGGATGAACAAGGCTATTTTTTGTCTATTCATGTACACTCAGATCTTCACACCTTCTCTTTTGTGTCAGAAGTAGATTTTAATTTACCTTTTTAAGGAAGAAGCACTGGAGAGAAGTCCTGTTCTAGCCAACTTAACATATATAATTTAACACCAATGTCAAGCTGCTAGAGAGTATCTGATCTCCTAGGTGATTCTGCCATGTACGTTGCCAGGTTAGATGTGAATATTTGGGTTGTCTCATACCATGATAGAAATTCATTGGGCTGAAAGAACAGGTCATCTTACTGCACATATTCTCGAGCAAATGCTGAGTGCTTAACCCTTACGCTACCCTGCACTAACCATGAACCCCTGTATTAAAACACTAACCTTAAAGGGACACCGTAGGCACTGTATCTGCTTCATCTCATTAAACTGGTTATAGTGTATGGAGTCCCCAGGTGCCATCATTTCTTTCAGCATTAAACAGTTTTTAATGTTTTAATGCTAAGCAAGAGACCACGGCAGTCCATTCCCTCTGTGCTGCTTTGGCTAATAAGGAAGTATTACTCTGAGCAGCAATGGGCAGCTGTGATTGGCTGAGAGTGTCAGCTGACTGCTTTTAACCTGTCAGAGCTCCAACTGACGGTATGAATGGGTATGACAACAAGGAAGTGTGTAATCTCTGCCTTAGCTACACATACAGAAGGGGCTGGACTGTGGGTGGCCAGAGACTCTTATTTTGTGGCATACTGCACAAACATGGTGCATCACTGAATGGAGGGACAGTGCCAGGTCACTCCAGGCACTATAACCAATTCAAAGAGACAAAGTAGTTATAGTGACTACAGTATCCCTGTAAAAACAAAAAAATAATAAATATATATCATGTAATCTAAAAGCTACAGTGATTTGTATGTCTGGGGGAAAATAATGCCATATATTTTTTTTGTTTCCTATCTCTGTTCTGTGAGATTTTGTCTTTCTAAGCGCTTCCTAATTGCACACAACAATTTAACATGCTATCCCTGCCATTTTTGCCCTTTTCGATCTGATTATACAGCTTGGAATTCTATGTTAGTCTGTTTCTGAGTTTTCTATTTTTCAGAGTCTGACGAAAGTTTTTATTCCAAAGCGTTCCCTATAAAATTATTAAAAATGTAGGTGCCAGCATCACCATAAAACTAAATCCTGATGCACAGTTGTTCCTGCTTTCTTTATGTCCCCGTTACAAATTCATTTGGCTCTCCTACAGGAGCATTCTGGAATTTGTAGGCATTCCTTGGTGCTTGTGTAATTGAGACTTCTGTGTGCCTATAATTCTTTTTATTGGTCCTCTATCCCATATCCTATCCATTGCTTATAAATGTTGAAACTTACTAAAAGTAAACAGACTTATTTTAAAAAATATGAGCCAGGAAAATGTGCATCATTGAACTTGCAGAGTAAAATGTTTACATTCTGATGCCACCAGTGTTATTTGTACGAGCTTAGGAGCCATAGCTTGCTCGTTTCTAAGGTTTGCCATACCCTTATTTCCAGTTTGAAATGCAGATCTACGGTGGAGATGCCAAATGGGTAGATCTCCAGATGTTGTAGGACTAAAACTCCCGTGGTGCCTTGGCAGCCTTTTAAATGACAGAGCACCATATATAAATTGTAGTTCTAAAACATCTGTGGATTTACCTTTCAAACACCAATGTTTTATGTCATCGTTACAGTGAACCTGTTTTCACTTCTTATCCTGATAAAAAGGTCCTGTTATTGAAAAGTGTATCCATGGGGGAGGGTTTGGGCTCCATTCAGTATTATAACAGAAATTATCCTTATCCTAAACACTTTTCAACATACAAGCAAGCTGTACTTGAGAGGAAACAGGAGATAGATGTTTTGAATTGTCCATCTCTTTTGGGTTTATCTTTTATTTTTATTTTTTTTCAATTTATTCATTTGTTTCGCTTGTAGATTGTGTGTAAGCAGTATGTGTTTAGGACCAAGCTAAAAGATTTAAATGTTTTTAATCAAGAAACTTCAAATAAAATGCAGTGATGTGGTGTCATGATATAATTTATTTCGGTTTATTGGTACCAGCTGACTAGTGTCCTTCAGAACGTATGCATTGACTCTACGAGTTCCTAGACCTTTTTCTATCTTCTGGATTGATACATATGTCCTGCTAAGTTCTAAGAAACGAGGCGCTCAGCCTGGAAAGATCAGCCCCCTCATGCTTTTGGAGGAAACATGTGCTGGAAGTAGAATAACAGATGGAGTCAATCGGGCTGTTTTCGAGCAGCTGTTTAAAACTAGTCCAGATACAAGTGAAGGTCCCTCATAAGTCACCCTTTGTTTGCTTAATTCTCTTTTAAGTAAACTGGAATTCTTTAGATTGTTTATTGGTAGAGTAAGTACCTTGATGTAAGGGTATTTGAGTAAATTGGGTTCTGCTTGAACCAAAGTGTAAATACTAATTTGCACTTCCGGAACTACTTTAGTTATGCGTTCTGCCAGCATTTGAAGTACACTTATAATAAAGTGTGTTTGTTTCAAATCCCAAGTATAGTCTCCACATAATCCACGTGGCTGGATCAACCAGGACGATCCAGGTCCTGGTTTTTGTCAAACCTCTTGAAATTGTTTTTATAGAAATAAGGATTAGATTTAGAGCCATAGCACAATAACAACTATAAAAAACTGAGCGCAGAGCGTCACCTGACCACTTTCAGCCTCTCACAGCCGTACATTGCTGGTATGCATTGATATGGCTAAGGAAGAGGGTAATCTTTGCCTTAGTCATACCGCAAATGGGGTCCAAGTTTAGGACCGGTAGGGATGGAGAATTTTCCAACTCTGCTATAGTAAAAACCTGGTTATTTTTTCTCTCGGTTTTACCAATTTGATCTAATTTGGCGTTTAGGGTCTCACCCTTTGTCCACCAATGTGCATGCGCGCACTGTATGTAATATTCATTGCCCTCTAATATTTACAATTATAACCTCTACCCTACTTGGCGTGACCTTTACCAGCATCTGCATTTCCATTGATTTCTTATGTGAACCTGTGTTTTCTCTGTCATGTCTAAAATATATTTTTAGTCTTCCACTGTTCCTTCTCATGACCTTATTCTACTACCTGTTATGTTCCAGATCAACTCCTTCCTCCCCACAGTCATGTCCTCCTTCAGCTGTAGCCCATTCCACTTTTTGACCTTTGTCACTCTTTTTTAACTCCCAGTCATGCACCATATCTTTATTTGTACTATCTTACAGTCATGCCATATACGTTGGCTTGACTGTAAGTTGATGGACCTCTCATAGAACATTTTGAGCTGGATAAACCTGACTTTACTAACATGGAGTATATTTGAACTTTAGTGGATAACCCTATAATTGCTAATTAAATTATGTGTGAAATTGGTGGTTTTATGAGTTTTCTAATGCTCGGTTCGGTCTCTTCTTCTAGCACTTCCAGACCATGATCAAATCCAAGCTGAATGTGTTGACCCTCCGAAAAGAGCCTCTTCCAACTGTGATTTTCCATGAGCCAGAGGCCATTGAACTTTGCACCACAGACCCGCTTATCAAACCCCGACCACAAGCTGGATGCAAGGTACTGAACCATTCTCTTAAACTCACATTGCAATGGAGTCTCTCCCTTATTTGATGGTTTAGGACATATTTTAGCAAGTTATATTTTTAAAAGCAAAGGCAAACTCCAAACCTAATGTTTTAAGTAAGCTAGTGATGACCATATATGTATCTTTAGAATACCCGTCCCTGGTGACCTTAGCAAATTCTGTCTGGTAGACATTTCTGTTTATCACTGTAATAATAAACACTGCATGTAGAGTCAGCAAAGTGTGCTGCATCTATAAGTTCCCCCTCTCTTCCTTGCCGATTTGAAGTGGGGTCTGTGCTATGTCAGTGAGCACACTTTATATCCAACTAATGAACTGTGCTACACCTCATTCCTCATCCTTGCAACACAAGCTTGCTTGCTTGTTTGTTTGTTTTCCTTATCACTCCTGGAGCTTTAAAGGAAACAAATTTACCTCCCCCATAAAGAAAAAGAGAGAAAAAAGCTGGAATTAGTACGAAATGCTTGGCCTGAGAATCTTACTTGACAGATCTAGAGTGTCTGTTTTCCTGACACTGTTTATGGAAAGGTACTACAGCCTTGTGAGAGAAGTCACCTGTGTGCTTTTAAACCTTGTGGTGTAAAATAACTTCCATGGAGAACATTTTTATTGAATGTTTATTGTCCCTTTTGAAGAATACCGTGCGATTATGTAGCTGGAGATTGGGTGTTTATTAGTACAAATTGACTGTAATAGCTTATGACAGCGTCATGCTTGGTTGCTGCTTCCCTGATGTTCCTTGAGCAGTTTCCTTATAGAGTTTATGGGTGTTATTGGCCTCTCTACATTTCTTGGCATTTATATTGCCTCTGCTGCAAGACGTCATTGTTTAAAGGTTAGTAAATTATTTAGATTAAATGCAATGCAACTCAAGCTTTAAGATTTAGTGCTCTTTTTCCATTTCTTTAAATATTTTCTTTATTGGATGAGAGTGGTGTTGAGTGGAAAAAGTAGGAAAACCTTGATTCTAACTGGGGAAAAGCTTTATTGTACAGCCAGGTTTTGGTTTCCTTCTTAATATTTGATATGTTAGCACTGCTACATTAAGGACCTGGTGCTGACCAGTATGATGGGCCTAATTACAGAATCGTTCTGATGGAAAGCACTAGAACAGCCATACCTCTCAAGTGCTTTGTATCTGGTGAAGGTGGTGCTGGTGAGACACTACTAGCAGGATACATTTTTAAGCCTGCATGTACCCTATGTTATTCTCTCTTCCATCTGTCAACGCAAACTACCTGTCCATCTTGGAGCCCCACAGCTCCTCTCTCTCTCACTGATCACAAACTCAAAATGTCCTTTCTTCTCCAGACTCCCTTGTCCACTTCTCTCCTTACCTTCCTACAAGCAGGCAGAAGCTAGCTCTGGGTTGGCAGCCTTGGTATGATGTTGAATATATTGAATGAAGCAGAAAGTTTATATGCCACCTTATCAGAAAATGATTAAAAGGTAATTGGCTGTTATAGAAACAGAAGCATCAAGAACATCTGCCTAGTGCGTGGTCATGGTTACTTTAATCTTATAGCCAGCCAGTGCACTCACCTTTTGTTCCCCTGCATCCCACCTAATTTCCTATACACGGTACCCTCATCGTAGAGTAAGAGCATATGAGCAGTAGTGGGGGAAATGTTTTTTGTTTGTGGTTTTTTTTATTTCCTTACCCCTGCCCGGACACCAAAAACCTAACTCTCTCCTTTGCATACTGTGGTCCACAATGGTAGAGTTCACTGTGTAGGCCGTGGTTAGGATTAAGAAGATATTAAGGATGCAGAATAGTTTTGGTTGGTGCCTGAAATTGGTGGGTGTGTGTATGTATGTTTGTCTGCATCACTTTTTATGAATCCATCTGTAGAAAAACTGTTTACCCTGAGTAAACTAACATCAATTCCATTCAAGGAGCATTGACTGAATTTGCATGTGACCTTAGACCTTTTTGTATACATTTACTGCTTGGATTTAAAAGTTTGAGGAGTGTGTGCCCTTACTGTTGGAGCACTAAGACATGTGACTACATTTCTGAATGTTGTTCCAGATGTTCTGTAAAAGGAATTTTGGGGGATTAGAGGGGGTGTTATGCAGGCAAGTTTGTATTGTTTCTATAGCTCCTTTGCAGGGTTTGTTAGTAATGTGTAACATGCTGTCCATTTGGCGAGGCTAGTCACCTATGCAATGCTGTAGCAGAGGACAAGGAAGGGGTTGGATGAGCACTGATTACTTTGTCTGCAGTCAGACAGCTTTCATTTGTTATCCAGGTCTGCTTCTGAGAGCAGTCCAAACTTGTGACAGAATCCTGCTGGTGTTCAATCGGCAAACTTAACTCTTGTGGTCTGACTTCTTACTTAAAGAAACCATGATATTTCAGGGGTTTGGGTTATTCCCCCAACTCTGTTGCCCTACTGGGGTTTGTGTAGATCTGGTGTCTGCCGTTTTTGCAAGTCCTCCATTTTTTTGACAGGTTAACGAGTTGGAGATGTACTATTGAGAAGGCTCTGTGGTTGAGCTGAGAACATTTAGAATGGATGTTCCATGAATTGGAAGACGTGGATCCCACGTTTGTTAATGATATTAGGGGAGTGGTAAGGTCTCTCTCTGTGTGGATAAAATGGTGGGATACTCTGTTAATGTTGTAAATGTATTGGATGAATATATAGAACTCTGTAATATTTTAATGTGGTAATTTACTTTGATGCCCTATGTGGATTATTGCTATCTCTGTATTGTAAAGACATGCTGGTCTCGATATGTGTCGTTTCATGTTATGCTATCTTGACTAATAAAAACAGACTTGCAAAAAAGATGCTACATCCCCGTGCTGGTTTACACTATCCCTCCCCAATTTAGACTGCCACATTTCTCTGAAAATTGGCTCTCACTCTGCCCAGATCAGATTTTGCCACATTTGCATTTCAGAGGCACACTCCATACAGCAAACAGACACACCACATGTTTGAAATTCTACAGACAAATGAAATTAATTTGTTAAATTTAAAAAAAAAAAAAACATGGCAGGAAGCAGCCTTTACCACCCTTTCCAGCCAGGCATCAAGCCCCAGTCATTTTCCCTTTCTTCTGACAGGCTGACTCACTTAGCCACCACAGGGGAGGGCCCATTCTGTGCTGCAGACCTCAGGCTATACCCAAAACAAGCTGAACATGAGACAGGCAGCCTCTCATTCTGGAGTGAGAATGGGCAGGGGCGAGTTGGAGACAGCAACTGACTCAGAATCCATTGATTTCTGCCACTCATCGGACCTTGCCCATTGGGAATAAATAAAAAATAAAAAACTGTGCGTGTTCTCACCTCAACCTACATCTACTGGGGCCCATATATCAGTCATATATCAGTTCTGATTGCTAAATACCTCATATGTCTATGATCTAAATAGAATGTTTGTAGTTAATGCTGATCATGTACCATCCTTCTACAATGCTATATAAACACAACCCCTATGCTATCTGTTTACATGCCCCAACGTTAACCTTACACTATTCCTAACTCCCTAAAAATAAAGCATTAACAACACCTACCCTACACAGCCTAACCCTAATCCTACACGAACACTTATCCTAACCCTAGGGAAACCACCTGGTAATATTAGTACTGATTGTTAAAACCATAGTTAGTGATATGCTGCTACTGAAAAGGTTAATGAGGCCAAAATCAAATGAATTAAAGTTGCATTGGTACTCATTGTCCTTTAGGGGTATTCTCAACATAAGACTTTAGAGATAGATCCTAACAAATATGAAAAAACAATCCCCCTTCCCCCCCAAAAGAAAACACACAACTAAACTTAGAATATGTGTTCAAAAGCCACACATACAGAAAAATGAGTCATACATGTGGCTGCAACGTCAATTGTCTAACTGCATGCAGCAACAAAAAGGTCTTTATTGTAATAAGTTATATTTACACCAGGCCATACTAGCCCAATTGTATCATTCAAGTTCTCAACAGAGATTGTGATCTAAATTGTAAAAAATCTGCATACTATATATTTGTTAGAAATTGATTTGTACATTAATAAGATCTCCCTCAGTTAAGTAATGCCATATTGGAGATTCTTCGTATCGGAACAAGAGATACATAGATCTATGAAATTAATCAACAGTTCCAATCGTCAGGCACCTTACTGTTAAGTTGTTCTCTCTTTTTAATCTATATCCTAAAGGCTCAGAGTTAACATTCGTGCAGAATATGAAAGCTCAAGAACCTAGTTTATAAACCTTGATGCTAAACTTTGTTTTATTGCCTTTGTTGATCCGTTTAGATAAAGTGGGTTTTACCCTGGCTGAGAAGCCCCTAACTATTTCAAGGATGCCACCCAGTACCCCTTTGTAAGGAGATTAATCATTTTCATGGATTTGCTTATGTAACAAGCAGGATGTAGATTTCCTAAAAGGAGAACTGTGCTCTGCCTTGTTATAAGTAATCTTACTATTATAAATGGAAATGGTTTTTTATTGCCCTGGCTTTAGGAATGGAATTTCGTCCTGTATCCTTCCACCTAAAATGAACTACATATAAGCCAATCATTTTAGCTTTATAAGAAATAAAAATAAATTCCTCTGCACTCTTGGAGTTACAAAAGTTATTTAAATTTTTTTTAAATATTAAAATACATACATTTTAAAAATTACTTTTTAGGAATAAGAACCCAAGATGTTTTCAAGCAACCTGTTATTATTCTGGCTGAGCGTCATTGGAAATGGGATTCACAAATGTCTGGTGTGCCAAGGTTAGCTGGCTCTGAGATTGACTAAACATCTTGGGGCAGGAACAATCTGACGGCTTCGGTTTTGTTCTTTTTCAACCATTTTCCGCACACAGCGGTGTATCTAACATTGTTCCTGCTCGAGCAATTTCAGCAGCTTGAAATTCTCCTTGCTAATGTAAAACAGATGAATTGGTGTTATCGTGCAAATGGGTATTGCTGTTCAGAATGACTTGCGAGTCATTTAGAATGTGATTGTTTGACATGTCCAATTACAGAATCATTAGCAGTGGATCTACTGCAGCTCTGTGATCTTAGGAAAGCCTAGAACATTTCACTACATAATCAAAGTCATTTTTCCCTTCCATTTGAAATGTAACCAGTCTGCTTAATGGTTTCTCTGATCACATAGTATTTGCACGTACCAGTCTACAAAATTAAAATGGCCGAATAAAGAAAATCTATGCAGGAAATTAGATTTAATTCAGATGATGTCCAAGTATATCCATTTTCATTCCAACCCTGCAGTGAATGAATGAGTGATGATTGGCTGAGCAATTTTATTATTTGTGATGGGGTTATGATGTGCTGTACTTGACAGGTTTAATCTTTGAAATATTTCAGTTTGCATGCTTACTCATGGCTGCCAAAATGCTTTGGTCTTCCTGAAGTAAAAATCATTTACAGACCGTGGCTAACATTCTGTTTTTCTTATGAAACAAATATTTTTTTCAATGGTTAAAGGAACACTATAGTCATCTAAATTACTTTAGCTAAATAAAGCAGTTTTAGTGTATAGCTCATTCCCCTGTAATTTCACTGCTCAATTCACTGTCATTTAGGAGTTAAATTACTTTGTTTCTGTTTATGCAGCCCTAGCCACACCTCCCCTGGCTATGATTGACAGAGCCTGCATGAAAAAATAACTGGTTTCACTTTCAAACAGATGTAATTTACCTTAAATAATTGTATCTCTTTCTTTGTAAATTGAACTTTAATCACATACAGGAGGCTCTTGCAGGGTCTAGCAAGCTATTAACATAGCAGGGGATAAGAAAATCTTAATTAAACAGAACTTGCAATAAAGAAAGCCTAAATAGGGCTCTCTTTACAGGAAGTGTTAATGGAAGGCTGTGCAAGTCACATGCAGGGAGGTGTGACTAGGGTTCATAAACAAAGGGATTTAACTCCTAAATGGCAGAGGATTGAGCAGTGAGGCTGCAGGGGCATGTTCTATACACCAAAACTGCTTCATTAAGCTAAAGTTGTTCAGGTAACTATAGTGTCCCTCTAATTTTCAGGAAAATATAGTCACTAAAGTGGCCTTAAATTTGGAATCCACTTGGAAGTTTCATGGACGTGATTAACCCTGTTTAGAGTTCAAGGGGCAAACAAAATCATCTTTTACCCTTTCGTTTCCAAATTTAAGTGTTTCCTATGGAGGAAGTCTAATGGGATCACCGTGCATGAGCACTAGGTCCCCCATGCTGGCTGGGAGGAACAAAGGCAGAGCCTGAATTAGCTCTGAGGTACATTGGTGCTGGAATAGTGTGTGATAAATGGCTTTTTAACCACTTCAGCACCACGGGGGGAGCGGGGTTGCGCGAGAGAGGGCACTATAGGGAGCCATACTTTTCCTAGCACTATAGTTTCCCTTTAAGTAACATTTTTAGAAGCAGTCGTTACAGCATGGTACCATCTTCCAGCAGAAAAGGCAAAAGCCAGTTGGTCTTAATCTGCTGTCATCCTATGTGTTTGCAAAGTTTAAAACATTCTTAGCCAGTTTGTGACTCACGGAAAAATTTTGGCTTCGCAGCTGTGTGTGATGCCTGTTTATCACAAGACTGAACATCTATCCAACAGGAGGAGCAGCGAGGAATGTGTCTGCCTGTTTCTTTATTACAACCCTGTACCGCAAATGTCCATTAAGGCATAACATTTGATTATAGCTGTCATATTCCTAAAAGCAAATATGTTAAATTATATAGCCCCCATCTTCAAGCTGTAGTGCATTAATGGCTGGGTGCATGTGAGAGCGTCTGGATTGGGGAATGCAGAATTGGATCCAAAATGTTGGCTCCCTGCTAGCTTCTAACCAGATGTTTTGATTTTTCGTGAATAGAGTGCTGATGGGATCTTTGAACGGCCAAACTAGACATTTTTAGATATTTAACAGTTTGTGTGTCTGGACCATTGCTTGCATTCCTTAAGCCTTCCATTTTGGTAGGTTTATTTGGTACTAACATTTTGTAATCGTTAAACCCACGACACACAGAGGGGTCTTCGTGATCTGAATTCGGAAATCATTTACAGCCTTCATTCTGTGCGCAACTTTAGCTAATTTCAGTTACACAGTCACAAGCTACAAAAGGCTGTTATGCCAAATGATCCGATTTTGGATGTAGCTGAAGCACAATGAATTTTACTTGTTTTTCTTGTAAGTATGCACAACTTACATTTTACAGCCTTTTGCCATTGTGTTCAGTATATTATATTTTGTGTATTTTAGATGTACGTTTTAATTTCACCAGATATTGGTTGCTAATGTATTCCCTTAATTATGATTTATACTTGTTTATAGCACAGTATTGCTAAACCCTGGTAGTTGTTTGTTGTGTTTTGTTTTTGTGTCATTTTCCAATTTGTTGTGTAATTGTAAGGACTTTATAGTTACAGGCAATATTTTTCAAATTTGTTCAAAGTTAACAGAACACAATTGCATATAACCAGACTTTGATAAATATATCTTTCTAAAACAAAACATGACCTATCTGATTTAAAGGAACATATGTTTATGTTCCTAATACTATACTGCTGGAATAGATTTTCAGTTGTCTGGCCCCCTTGTCTGAAGTTTAAAGGTGATTAAGGATTCCTTTTCTCTCTTGCGGAGGCCGTCCCTGCCTCCATGGCTGAGATCATCAATCTTGATGATCTTAGCCAATCCAATGCTTTCCTATAGGAAAGATTTTAAAGTTCTATAGGAAAGCATTGGGAGGGTATAGGAAAGCATTGGGAGGGTATTGCGCATGCACCACAAAAGAATCTGTGCAGTGCCAGTCAGCATCTCCTCATAGAGATATATTGAATCAATGGCTGTAACCAGGGATGGGACTGTTCTGAGAACGTTTGCGTGACTTACTAATAATATATGCAACTAAAATGTAATTTTGAACAAGAACAATGTATCTTATTTACTAGGCATGTGCAATTCGTTTTGAATGCAAATTAGAAAGAATTTCGGCAATTCGGATGTTTCTGAATGTCCGAAGTAGAAGTAGGGAGGGAAAATTAAGTAAATGATTACCAGAATCTAACCCTAGATGTGTAAGTGGTTGTGGTGATTTGGGTTAGGAGTAGGGTTAGGGAATTGATGAATTTCGGAAGTGCCAAACCAAATCAAATTTTTTGCCAATGCGCATCCCTATTATTTATACAGGCTGTTTTCTAAAAACATCTATTGTAGTCTAAAGGCACATTGATGTGAATATTATTGCTGTGAAGCTGTTTTAGACTCTACTCTGTCCTACATTCAGATACAATAGAAAAGAGAGATAAGATGATCACAAAGTGACAGAGGAATATGTGCCCAAAACAGATGGGAGGAATGTGGTGGTAGTCACAGAGACCCTATGCCCCTGATTGCCATCTTGGGCTATTTCAAGACAGTCTTAGCGACTGAGGTGTGTACTACGCCGTTACTAGAAACTTCAGCACGATCTATATACACTCTTAATCACTGTTGTAGAGTGTCAATGATCACAATATGTTTAACTGACCATGACGTACGCATTCATTGCTCACGAAGGACTAAACAAGAAATGGTCAGTTTGTGGCAGAGTGACAATTTAATCATTTGCGTACAATTGTAATTAGGACCTTTTTAAGTCCTTGCATATTTTGGAAACATCCCTAAAGTGACGTGTACTTGTAATTGGGTTTCCAAGGAGAGCGTAATTGGAGATAGATAGAGAAAAAGAGCATCTATCTATATCGGGAGTTACATTTGGCAGACTTTTTTTTTGAAGCTAGGGCCATTTCTTGATCTTTCTACCCATACAAGATAGTTCTCCAGCATTCTGCACATGGGAAGACCTAGTGGTAATTTTTGGATTCACCTGATAACACACACCCTGCTCCCTTAAAGTCTTTTTTTTCCTACTTCCTAACACTGGAAGTGTCTATAATATCTGATCAAATTTGAAGATCTATTAAGGGGAAAAAAAGGTTCTGTGCATACCTGCAGCAGGAGGGCGTATTGAATGAGCCAGCCACCACCAACCACATAAAGTTGGCTGGACTGGAACTGCTGATGTAACGGTTAAATGAGGTCCCTTGTATTCATTCAGGCAGTGGAATGTCTGGGGCCTTGTAATTTTACTTTTTGGCAAAAATCGTATGTGTCTTCGGCAGAATGCTGCTTAGCCTTTCTCATTCAGAATGTAAATTGACAGTGAATCACTACTGCTGAGAGTGCCAACTACTGGAATCCAAAGGAATTCTAGATGTTATTAGCTTGGGGTTTGCCAAATTTGCATCCTCACGCTGGATGGATAGGGGCTTACCGGACAACATGGCATGAATAATAAGATATCCATATTTATTTTAGAGGTTCTGTATGCAGACTTTTTTTGAAAACACCTAATGTGTCTTTGGTGAAAGAAGTATATCTTTAAAATCTAGAGTTCGTATAATTTCCAAACGGCGGTACTTTAATAAATTGGGTATTATTTTAATATCTATCTGTACAATATATAGTGGGGGATCTGTGTGTAACTAAAAGAACACTTTTGGGTCCTCAAGCAACATGTAGCTATTGGATTATTATATTGGCAGACGTGCAAAACAAAATTGTCTATATCCAACTCCATGTCCTTGGACCAAACACAATACTTTAGTGTCACTAGACTAATACAGCTATTCATAAAACGTGTGTGTGTGTGTACGTACATGTAATGCTAGGAAGGTATGATTTCAACTTAAAGGAGACTGTCTTCATTTTATATTATTATTCTAGTTGAATAATGACCTTTAACATGGCCTGGGAGGGTATACCGGTATTTACTATGTATGAATTACAAAATCTAATTTTAAAGAATTTCCTGGCTTACCCATGTTCTCAGTGGCTGGCCATCTATTTGGTTTGAAGCACAAAATATCTGTCAAGACTAAGCACAATTTGAACTGCAGAATCTGCTGCATTTTTGGTTGGCAGTCACATGCACATGACATCTGGATATGTGAACTCAAACTAGCTCTTGGTTAACTGTATGGGCTTTAGTTGAATAAGTGGTGCTTAGAGGAACACTCTGGGCACGTTTCAATTGAATGGAGTTGTTATGGTTCCAGGAGGTCAATGGCGAAGGCTTAACTTTCAGAGGTTAAGTCAGTCACTAACAGTTTAACCCCAAAGTCCAGTATTCCTCTGTTGGCTTTAAATTCTTGAAACATAGAAACATAGAATGCGATGGCAGATAAGAACCATTCAGCCCATCCAGTCTGCCCAATTTTCTAAATACTTTCATTAGTCCCTAGCCTTATCTTATAGTTAGGATAGCCTTATGCCTATCCCACCCATGCTTAAACTCCTTTACTGTGTTAACCTCTACCACTTCAGCTGGAAGGCTATTCCATGCATCCACTACCCTCTCAGTAAAGTAATACTTCCTGATATTATTTTTAAACCTTTGTCCCTCTAATTTAAGACACTGTCCTCTTGTTGTGGTAGTTTTTCTTCTTTTAATTATCGTCTCCTCCTTTACTGTGTTGATTCCCTTTATATATTTAAATGTTTCTATCATATCCTCCCTGTCTCATCTTTCCTCCAAGCTATACATGTTAAGATCCTTTAACCTTTCCTGGTAAGTTTTATCCCGCAATCCATGAACCAGTTTAGTAGCCCTTCTCTGAACCCTCTCTAAGGTATCAATATCCTTCTGAAGATACGGTCTCCAGTACTGCGTACAATACTCCAAGTGAGGTCTCACCAGTGTTCTGTACAATGGCATGAGTACTTCCCTCTTTCTACTGCTAATACCTCTCCCTATACAACCAAGCATTCTGCTAGCATTTCCTGCAGCTCTATTACATTGTCTGACTACCTTTCAGTCATGTGAAATAATCACCCCTAAATCCCTTTCCTCAGATGTTGAGGTTAGGACTCTATCAAATATTCTGTACTCTGCCCTTGGGTTTTTACGTCCAAGATGCATTATCTTGCACTTATCCACATTAAATGTCAGTTGCCACAATTCTGACCATTTTTCTAGTTCACCTAAATCATTTGTCATTTGGCTTATCCCTCCTGGAACATCAACCCTGTTACATATCTTAGTATCATCAGCAAAAAGACATACCTTACCATCAAGACCTTCTGCAATATCACTAATAAAAATATTAAAGAGAATGGGTCCAAGTACAGATCCTTGAGGTACCCCACTGGTGACAAGTCCAAGCTTCGAATATACTCCATTGATTACAACCCTCTGTTGCCCGTCACTCAGCCACTGCCTTACCCATTCAACAATATTGGAATCCAAACTTAAAGATTGCAGTTTATTGATAAGCCTTCTATGTGCAACAGTGTCAAAAGCCTTACTGAAAAAGGAAGCCAGGGCCAGGGGTGCTACTGATTGGGTTTGAGCATCAGCTGATGCTGTAAGCTAAGCAGTAACTCCCCATTCGTAAAACTTATTGAGAAATGACAGAGGCAGAGCGATGGGGCACTGGATACTGGACTCTGTGGTTAAACTGTTCATGAGCGATTTTACTATTAAAGATTAACCAGCACTAGGAACCTCCTGGCACCATATCAACTCCATTCCACTGAAGCTATGGTGCCTGGAGTGTTCCTTTAAAGATGGCTTTCATTTTGGAGCAAGAGTAAGGCAGACATGCACTGATCTTGGGTTTGAACTACAAAATACAAACCGAGCCTATAATATGCACAAGCTTACATTTTAGCTAATATTAAAAATGTTAGCTTTATTTTTATTTTTATTTTTTTCTTCATTTTTAAAAGGAATATTCCAAACCTATAACCACTACATCTGCTTAGGAGTTTCCATTAGCAATGCAGTGCTAGCTCATTGGCAAAGAGTGTCAGCTGATCAATCTCAGCCGGTGACCTAAGACTGGCACCACCAGGCTTAGCTCAGACAGAGTTTCTGTTTGGTATTGAGGATGTATTAAAGACAGGGAGCAGCACCTAGCGGACCCCAGGATGTCAAAATTTTCTAGAAACCATTTGACTACTTACAATGGGGAGGAGCCAGGACACTACCGGCAATATAACTATTGTATTATAGAGGTAATGGTATTTGGAGTGTTTTGTCATTTTTACTTCTATCTACCGGTACATTTTTTTTTATTTATTTTTTTGTGGAGCATATGTTTGCATTCTATTATAATAAAACTGGAACATCAGATATTTGTAATTGCCATTTTAACTTTTGTACAATTGTCCTTTATTTTTAATTGGAAATTACATTAGAATCCCTTTTCTGAATTTCAAATTAAATTCTTTTTATTTTGCTTTCTAGGTGACGTATCTGGGCAAGTTGTCAACCACTGGTGCACAGTTTTCAACGGGTTGCACGGAACAACCCGTTATTGAGTTATGGAAGAAACACACTTTGACCCGTGAAGATGTGTTCCCCTCAAACGCTATCCTCGAAATCCGCCCCTTCCAGGTACGACTCCATCACCTAGATATCAAAGGTGAAGCAACTGTCCACATGGACACATTCCAGGTGGCACGTATTGCCTATTGCACAGCCGATCACAATGTAAGCCCCAACATCTTTGCCTGGGTATACCGGGAAATTAACGACGATCTGAGCTTCCAAATGGATTGTCATGCAGTGGAATGCGAGAGCAAGTTAGAAGCCAAGAAGTTGGCACACGCTATGATGGTAGCTTTCAAGAAAACCTTCCACAGCATGAAGAGCGATGGTCGAATCCATAAGAACAATTCCTCTGAGGACGTATCCCAAGGATTTGAATCTGATGATGGTTGAACTGTGTCCTCTTATTCCTGGGGAAGGCATCAATAATCTGGAGCAGCAACTGGTTTAAGGTCCCATTGGGAAAGAAGCAACAGAACATTAGCTGGTCAGCTTCTATAGAAATTCAACCTCTATAGATATGTGGCCTTGAAGTGTCTGTTGCAGTGCTGCTTTCCCAAAAAATGTGACAACACTTCCTTCCTTTCTTCATTCACTGCCTCCTCTCTGTACCTTTTTAATGGTCACAAAGACTTGCACGACCTTTGTTTAATTCAAGTTGCCTTGGAAATTCGTTGATCCATTGCAGAACGTGCAGATGCAGGGTTTTAATTTTTTTTGTTAGAACTACATTTAAAAAAAAAAAACAACATTCTGACCATTCCTAAGGCTGCCTTTTTATTATTTTTGGCTGAAACTCATAAATTGTTCCATTTCTGAAACATATTTTTATTTACACAGTATAGATATATAAAAAATATATATATATATAATACATAGATACATAGCATATATTTTTATTTTACCTACATTATTGGTTTGTTTTTATCTTACACGCAATCAGTTATCGTTTTGTTTTTTTCCCTTTAACAGTGTTATGCCTCATGGCTTTTTAATCTCATTAAATTCTGTTGGCACCTAAGATGTGGAAAGCTGTGGTGGCTTTGACTCACTAGTTTACAGCCACATCTAGCACCACCTAGTCGCATTTTGTTTCTTTTTAAATATTTTCTCTAAAATGAGCCAATGAAGCACCTTCAGATGCGAATCAGCACTTTAAATGATATTCACCAAACCATGTGTTCATCTGTCATGGTGATGAGGATCAGAATAGGTGAATTTCTATCAGACAAATTACCTGATGGATAAGGAGATAAGTTTTGGAGACGAAAGTGTGATTGTTGTGTGCTAAAACCTCAGCCACTGAATACCCTATAGTTTTGTTTTTTTTGTTTGTTTTTGGTGATGGGCCTAAAACCTCTTGTGGTAAGCTATGAATCCAGAAAAATTGCTTCTGGAGATCCTTAATGAAGTATAAGATACTGTGGGTATCTTACTATTCACATTCTACCCGTTACTCCGCATATCTCGAACCATACATCTTTCCCACCTCTTAAGAAAATCAGATTCCTGGCTTTGATCAGAGCCAATACCTAATAAGTTCCTAATTTAGAAAATAAAAAAATGCATTTCCTACCTAGTTTCATTAACCCAACTTGGAGTCGGATAGCTACAGCTCCTTGGAAAGAAAAAGTAAAAAAATGAAACCGTACCGCTAACACATTAAATGTTTTATATTGATTCTCTGAATGTACATCAAGACTCCTGCAAATGCAAGTATGGCTCCTAAATGAATCTAACCCTACATTTTTGAAAACCCTTCTTTATTATTTGAGCTATGCATATTACAAGATTGAATCCATACTTTGCAGATGTTGTATGCCTCTTACTAATCTATTAGTTATCATTGGGCAGGTGTTTAGCTTGTTTTTGTTTTTGTTTGTTTGTTTTTGTTTTTTTTTGTGATATGCAAGGATTTAATGTATATCCATTCTAACTATCTGCGCTGCTGCAATATTTGGTTGATGGTACTTGAAACAGGAAGGGAATGGTTTATGACGTGGATAACAAGAAGGTTGTGATGTGGTTTTTGGTTTTTTTTTTTTATTAAAAAAATAAATAAATGCACATATTGCTTTAAACAAATGTTTATTTTTGTATTGGGCTTCCCAAGAAGAAACTCTGATGTCCCATTTCATTTATACATTTTCTCTACAAGAATTTAATGAAATCATATTCCTTTAACAAGACGTATGTTTTAAGTAAGTTTTAAAGTGTTTATGGGTCACTGTGAATGTGTTTAATCCTATTTGCTGGAATTTCAATTAAATTAAATTGTGCAAATATCAACAGGAAATCCCAACCCCCAACTTCCTTTAAAAGGCTATTTTATTTGTGAATGTGTTGCTTTTTCATATAATAAATATATTAAAAACAGACCTGTTTACCACACCTGAGTATGTGTAACTTACTTTATTTTGAATTTGTTTTTTCATCTTTTTACAAATTGATTTTAAAAGTGTTTTCCTCCTCCATTTTGTAAAGCTTTTTGTGTGAAATAATTTCTTAAAACAATTGCATTTTATTTTTAAATCTAAAATGTCATTATTTAGTTGTTGGTGTCTCCTATAAGTAAATTAAACCACTTATTTTTATTTTATTTTCTTATCAGTAAATGTTATGTTTTTAGTGTGTGTGTGTGTGTGTGTGTGTGTGTGGTGGGGTTGTTGGGGTGGTTTTGTTTTGTTTTTCTTTTCAAATTATTAAAAATGAAAGCTTACTAGTAACTTATTTGAATAAGAATTCCGATCGTGCCAAGTTAGCTCTGTTGTTCGAGTTACAGACAATACATTGAGGGATACGCATCATTTGATAATTATTTTAACCTGAAAACTTTTTTTTTTTTTTTTTTTTTATATAAATAATCCAGAATAAAGCAAGAAAACCCTTGAAAAGTATTTAAAGATTGAATATAAACCTACTATAAACTCTGTCAGTTTGCCTTGTTGGACTCGCCTTTCAGCTAGGGTTGTTCAGCTGTTTTTTTATTTTATTTTTTTATTTTTTTTAAACAGCCTGCCGAGTGAATTCAAAGCTAAAGCTTTTGATAGATGCTATTGTCTCTCAGGGATGCATTTCCCTTTAAGATTTTTGATCTTGTGACTTGTTGGACGAACATGTTCCTTTCTGCATGCAAATCTACAGCTCGCTGAATCCTAAACATTGCAGTTTAGTATTGATGTATAAATGGTCTGTTAAACTCTGTCTCCTCATCAAGTCATCTATGCGAAAATGTTATGGGGACAGGTGGCTTTAAAAGTCTACCGGTACTTCAGATGTAAGTTTTATAATTTGTCATAAATTTACCAATGTGTTCTAATGGTTTTCATACAAGGCCGTCATTCCCCTCCCAATCCTCCCCCCCAATCGTGTATTTGCACCAGGTTTGCAAACCCTCCAAGATTACCTTTTACAAGTTACCTGGACAAGGTTTCTACACTAGGAGTGCCCAAAAGCTAGATCCCCAGATGTTTTAAAACTACAAGTTCCATGATGCTTTGCCATTCTAAAAGCATGCAAAGCATCATAGGAGTTGCAGTTCTACAACATCTGGGGATCTACCTTTTGGGCAGCCCTGTTCTACACTATGCACTAATGTTCAAACTACCAGCCTAAAATGTATTTCCCAGTTCTATAAGTTGCTCCTGCAACAAGAAGAGGATGAGAAAGCGTTTATAGTTTTGGACTCTAAACAGTATCATAAGGTAGAGAGTGCCCAGGGACTCCCATAACATTTCATTAAGATTAAGTTTGTTTTAGGGTCGCAGTGTTCCTTTAATTTTACATTGGAGATGCTAACTTTTTTGAAAAATAAACAAACAAAAACAACCACATAGATTTTTCTTTAGTCATCACATCTAGAGAATAAAGCATTTTATCTAACACCTGTTAGTGAGTTAAGTATCAAATAAAATTTCATGCTACTTATAATTATTGATAAATTCAAATAACCTAGGAATTCGGATTCCCAGGAAGCATTTCTAGTAATGTGTCAGTATGGGGACATTATGCGCTGGGGTTGCCACTGTGCTGATTAAAGATACACATTACTGATTACAGAAACACATACACAAAATTAAATTCTCTCAAATCTAACAGGCTATATGTAAAGTCCCCTCGATCTCAAGTGAGCTTGACACAGTAGGGAACTTAGCAGAACATGGACAAAATCACTATATGTTTGGTTGTGGTAGATGATTTTATACAGATTTAAATGGCTTAATTTGTGTGCATGTGAGCAAACACCTTTTTGGTAATTTCAGCAGTACCTCCCTCCATTAACAAATGCACATTCTGCGTGTGCCCTAATCTATACTTCTACTTTCTAAATAAAAAATTTAAAACTTTTTGTCAGCAGAGAATATATCCAACATGTGTGCTTAAGTGAACACAACTATATAAAATCTGAATATTAAAACTTTTGGGCTGACTCAATGTGATCTAAATTAATATATGAAAGACCAAGTTCATGGACATAGAAAGTATATAACTGATAAGGCAAGCCAAAAATCAAGGTATATAGAATGACCCAGGTACAAGCTGGGTTGTACCTGAAATAGTCCAGGTACAAGAATCTGTAATATATCACACACTCTGATAAGCTATAATGCAAACCATAAAACGTTCAAAAGAGCTTAAATAGTCTTAAAGGGACGCTGTAGGCACCCAGACCACTTCTGCTCATTGAAATGGTCTGGGTGCAAACTCACATCACCCTTAACCCTGAGCATGTAATTATTGCAGTTTTGATAAACTGCAATAATTACCTGCTAGGGTTAACTTTTCCTCTGGTAGCTGTCTACCAGACAGCCACTACAGGGACTTCCAGGTGGATAGGCCACTTTTGGTCGGCTAAACGACGCTGGATGAATCCCCATAGGATAGCATTGAATAATGCTTTCCTATGGGGAAATCATAATGCAAGCATGGCCATTGCTGCGCATGCGCATTATGTCTCACCCGCCAGCAGACTTCAGTGGGGGAGGATCGGGGCGGAGCTGAGCCAGCACCGAGGGACGTAAGCTCTGGACCCAGGTAAGTGACAGAAGGGGTTATAACCCACTCTGGACCACAGGGGAGGAGGCCTTGAAAGAGGGGGAAGCTATACTGCCAAAAAAATGAGTTTGTTTTCCTGGCACTATAGTTTCCCTTTCCCTTGGTATGTGACGTTGAAATGCGTGGGTGACATCTGCATGATGACGCAAGCACGTTCACACAATTATCGGGGTATAGCCATATGAGAGCTAAGTTTTGTAGCAGCCGGCATCTGCCAGAGGAGATGGGAGAGAGTGCGGAACCTCTGACATGTGGACAGAATGCTCCAATCTAGAGCGGTAGGCACCTTGACACCTTTTCTCCATTACCAAGACTCACAGCGTCGGAGACTGATAAGAGATGTGTTTAACCCTGTTGTGTGTGTTTCTACAAAAAAAAAAAACGTATAGAGACACTGCACCCAGGCCACAACAATAAATGAAAAGGTCTGGGTGACTTTAGTGGTCCTTTAATAAATAACCCTTTGAGCATAATTTGTGATCTCATATATTTTTCTCATATGTTGCTATCGTTGGCAGTCAAAAAATAAAACCAAAGCATAAAAACACAAACAAAAGGTCCCTTTGGGATCTGCGCTATGCATATAACAGTAGATACCCACATGACTAGACCATAAGGCTGCTGGGTGATAGGTCTTTACATTAAGCAGGCTTATAAATATTTAGTGTGCACAGGGCTGCTGGAGTTGGCTTACAGAAAGTAAATATGTTTGTTCCTCTATTTAATTACATAGAGATTTCTTGCACAATAGGATCAGTGTTTCAGGCTCTGTAGGACTTCCAAGCTTAGACCAGTCACTCTTTGTCGGTTCATAACAGTTTACAATCTACTACACAGGGACACAGAATCCTGTGCAATGCCGAGGGAATGTCGTAAGCTGAACATGTGACTCAATTCCTGTTCATATTGTTTTATTGACTTATTATGAATTAATGTTTTGAACTCTCAAACCTTTAGCAAACACATTGTTTGTCAGGTATGGCTGTCCTAATGTCTAGAATAGAGATGTTATTCATCCCCCTCAGGATTTGCCCTGTTCTAAATCAAATCAATTTTCATGCACGTGTTTAACCGATCGGGATCAACAGTACCGTAACTCTTTCACTACAACTTTGCTCCAGTACTAGTCCTTATCAATCTCAGTAATTAATTTCTCTCTACTAGTTCCAGTCCAGTACATCCTTATTCCTTGTATTTTTTGGAAGAGCTACTTTGGCCTAATATGAACAGGGCTCATCCTTGGCATTGAGACATATGTAGTGAAGCCTGCACAGCTCTTTGAAATAGAGGTGCCTATAAATGCAACTGTAACTATATGTTTGTGAGTATTATGACCCACTTAAGGCATGCACGTGATCATTCACAAGGAGTCAGAGTAAATTTAAATGTTTAGGCAGAAACAGCAAATAATGAAGCATATCTTACTGATTGGAGAAGTTTTATAATTCAGCTGTTGTGTTCTAGAATGTGAAATTCACTTCAAATCTGATAATTTGCTTTTTTAAGGAATAACCCTGTTCCTGTAGAAGGGCCAGATTGTTTTTGGTAAGACCGAATTTGCCATAGGCATTATGTCCATGTACAGTATGTAATTACCTGGCTGGAACTACACACCTGTACTACGTAGATCAGTGCAGGTTCCCCCTTTACCTTCTCACCCTTGTGGAGTGAGTCCAGCCATTCACTCGGTCTATAGGCTGCGGGGCAGGTTGTTGATAATTTTGGGCAACTCATAGCACTAGTCCCCACTCTTGCATGTGCAGGTTTGCCTCTGTCACAGTTCAATATATTCCTTCTCTTTCTCGTTAATCCGGGTGTTGGACTATTAGTTAAGCTTGTCTTATTTTTGGGAATTACCCTATAAAAACACACAGCTGTATTTGACTCCTTGTACTATTAATGTTTAAACTGTACCTCATATTGTGAAAGCTCTAACGTAAATTCCCCAATTTGGAATAGTCTTACCTTTTCAGCCCCTCTTTCATACAGGAGGTTAAAGGGGGTTATTAGGTAACGAGATCTTTTTCAGAGCTTAAAATAACCTTTTCAGGCTACAAGAAACCCTTTTGGACAGAGGGTCGCCCCTATAGGGCTGCAGGAGAATCACAGGAAGTGTTTCAGCAGACTCAGTTCTACCACCACAAGTTCTCAAGTGGTGGCAGAGTAGCTCAGACCAGAGGTGGCTCATCTGATTTGCAGAGACTGGGTACAGCGTTTAGTACTGGTTTACCTAATCTGGACCTCCAGACCCTACTATTCTTTGATTCATCAGTCAGTTAAGAGAACCAATATCCAATTGGGCTGGACTGCAGAGTTCTTTCAGGGAACCACCAATCTTTTGCTCAATCTGTCGCAGCTGATGTGTATTGCAGGTCTCATAGACTGTTACCCATCCCCTTTTATCGGATCAGGTGCTGAGCATCATTA